CCCCCCCAATGCCTAGACAGGTATTTGAGTTTTTTAATCTAGTTACCCCCTAAGGCTAGAATTGAGTATTTTAAACTTGTGACTCCCAGACTGGTATTCAATATTTTTTTTGGGTCACTCTCAAACTGGTATTTAGTTTTGTAACATACCACCCCCAAAGACACTTCCGTTTTTTTTTTTTTATGCCATATATAAGACTGGTATTTACTTATTTAGGCTTCTTACTCTGTATTGAGTATTTTGTCCATCATCAACTCCAAGACCGGCCTTTTTTTTTTTTTTAATCACCTGATTTTGATTTTATTTTTCAACTTGTTGCCCCGCATTTCCTAAGATTTTTTTTTTTTTTAATTGTCAGCTTCAAAACTGGTGAGTTTGTTCATCTTGTAACCTCTAGTGTTGTTACTGAGTTTTTCATCTCTAAGACTGGTATTTCATTTTTTTTTTCAGCTTGACTATACATTTATTAATGTGACAGCCTTTAAACTGAGCACAGAGTATAAAAAGCCTTACCTGAGAAATTTGATTTTGATTGTTATTTTTTAGATTATGAATATATCTCTGGATTGTTTCATCCCACAGAGGCTTGTCACATATAGTACTAATTTAGGACAGAGCTCAAGCATTAGCTTTGCGTGCTACAGTAACTAGGTTCCGCACATAAATGTTTTCCTCTGTGCTTAAAATTTTATTTTGTAACAATAAAGATGTAACTTTGAATTGTTCTGTGTTTTGTTATTTCTCTTTTAGCAAGTGAAGTTTGAAAAAAAAATAAAGAGAACAAAAGTAGTTAACATTGAAACTTATACACCGGGAAGGCTAACCCGGTCAACAAATGCCCGCAGAAGTGTAATATCGCAGCCATGCTGTAAACGGACACAACGCAATTACATCTTCGGATGAACGCAGAAGAAGAAGAAGAAGAAACTTATACTATACTCAGACTTTCTTCTTTTTATTCTTCTTAGCGTTCACCGGCTGCTATCTCCAACTGAAAGATCTGGTGGTTCATCCAATTCTGGACTTTGGTCTTGTTACAGATCTTGTGTTTTGCGTGCACATCTGTTTTACAGATCTGGCTTATTTTCTTTCAGACTGTTGGCTACTCACCTTTCAGGCAGATGCGCTTTGGCTTAGAAGGAAATACCCCTAATTATTTGCCTTATTTACATTTGTTTGGAGTGGGGGCAATGAGACAACCCCCCCCCCCCCCCCATCCCCTCCAAATGGGGCCCCAAATTCCACATGAGGCCTATGCTCAAAAGAACAAACTTTTTTTTTTTTTTTAAAAGATCACACACAAATACCCCCATCTTAAATTCTGCCCATTCAGACTCTTGTTTTTTTTTTTTTTTTTTTTTTTTTTTTTCCACACACAAATTATTTATGTGTAATGCATGTTAATGGTGACACAATGAAAGAAATTAAACGGCGACTATCAATTGCTCTTCAAAGACTAAAACAACTGAATAAATTATGGAATTGTACAGATAGAATTACAAAGGTTAGATTTTTAAGAGCATGCATCTTTCCCATTGCAACATACGCCTGTGAGACCTGGACACTTACTAAACAAGCGGAACAGCGCATAAATGCATTTGAATATAAATGTTACAGACAGGTTCTAAGAATATCTTGGGTAAAGAAAAGAACAAATGCATCCATACTTCAAGAGCTGAATATTGAAGAGGGTTGGCTAGTAAAGACAATAAAACAAAGAAAATTGAAATATTTTGGTCACTTGAAACGTCATGGAAGTCTAGAGAGAACAATAATGGAGGGGTATATGCCTGGGAAGAGAGGAAGAGGAAGGCCAAGGAGAAGATGGGTGCAGGATGTGGCAGATGATCTCCAGATGGGTGTATCAGACGCAGGACATCTTGCTCAGGATAGGAAGGTTTTCCGGAGGGTTGTTATGGCAGCGAGGTTCCGCGAGGGACATGCTACTGAATGAATGAATGAATGCATGTTAAGTTCATTTAACAATATACATAATGTGAATAGTTATAAACACAGGGTATAACATTCACACATTTATGTATACATTCACACTTATATATATATATATATATATATATATATATATATATATATATATATATATATATATATATATATATATATATATATATATAATATATATATATATATATATACCTACCTCACACAGAGGTAAAGGCTGTCTAGTTGGCATCACCTAGTCTTTCACAATTATTTGTCAGATCCATAAATATGGACACTTACGGCCCGGCTGTCTAGCGTAGTTGGCTAAACAGGACTGCTCGGTGACCGGGCTCACTCTCGGGGGTAGGCAGAAAAGCCACATTTCTCCCAGACTTACGGTATTTATCATAGAATCAAGGCCGAAGGGTTGCAATATCCATAATACTGAGCCTAAGGGTTAACAACTCATGGCTTCTGGACACTAAAAAAAAAAAAAGGACACTTACTGTTCTTAGTTGTGGCACATTTTTTTTTCCCTTTTGATAGTGGTTAGTCATTGCATATTCCTCCATATGTGAGCTGAATGAATATCTCGTAATTCTGTCATCCAGCCACTATGCTGAGTGCATACACTGCTATCTGGGATTTCATTTAGAATGTTCTTCTGTGCGCATCATGGTTTATGTTGTGAACTGTAGATTCAGAAAATGGTGAGTGGTCTGTTGGCACAGAACTGGTGGTGCCTTATGCAATTAATTGCATGTGCAACTATTGATGTGCTTTAACTGCTGTTTCCCTTGATGATGAAACTGCATTTCTTGTGACCCACTGTTTGTGGTGGCACTTCTGACAACTGTCTTGTGCATTTAATGTGTGGGGGGTATGATATTGGTTTTGCCAAAACTGCAGGATTAATTATTTTTTTTAAGAAGGGACAGTGATGGGCATTCTGTGTGGGTTTTTTCGGCACAAGAATGAAGCAGGTCAGTTGTTGTGATTTGAAACTAATTACCTGATGGGCTGTCATGGCTGATTATCTCACAGGATCAATCTGAGATCAAGTCTTTATTATGCCTTGTGCCCAAACCACCTGACTGCTTCCACTTGAGAAATTACATGTAAAAATGCATCTTGTTGCAATTTTGAGCCCATTACCACCAGGCCACTAATTAAGCATAGTGTTGCCATATATCCATCAATTACGTATCAACATTACTCTTGTGTGTGTTTATGTGTTTGTGGTCATTTTAAGGCTACTTCAATCAATTAATCCTCATCACGCCCAGAGGCACATACGGCAGAGACAAACTGTCGCCATTCAATTTGATCCTAAGCCATCCTCTCTATCTCCAGTTTTGTCCTTGGCATAGCCTTGAGTTCAGCCTCAAAGTTCATCTCCAAGTGCCTCTTGGCCTGCTTCTTCCTTGCTGCCCTTGGCCTTGTGCAAATTTTTTGGAAAAATGAAACAGAGATCAGTATTGAAAAGCTTACTTTTTATTCTAACAAATTTGTGTTGTTGTCCACACTAAAAAAAATACAGCAGATAAGATACAAATAAAAATCACAAACAGGATTATAGTGAATATAGATACAAACATTTTACAGAAACAAACAAGCAAAAGAAATATACCTCTGTCACAGTTTTTAAAGAACACAAACACAGCATGTACCAAAAACGAATTGATAAAATCTTCACTTTTGCATTTACGGGCAATTCAATGTGGCAGATTTAACTAATAAATTATGTGGCTTTTCTACCTCTTGCACTTTCATGTTTATGGTGTCTGTAATTTCCTATATCCACCTTCGTGATGGTCAACATCTGCCTCTTCCCTCTGCTACTCTGCCTTCCATTATGTGTTGGCAATCATCAGTCAAAGGAGACCATGGAGCTGTGCTGTCAGTTTTGGGAACAGCATCTGCAATGACTAAAGTCCATCGTGGGAATGGCAGACTCTGCTACATTGTACACATTAAAAACATTGTTACTCCACCATGGGAATGGCAGACTCTGCTACAATGAACACATTAAAAACATTGTTACTCCATCGTTCTGAGGCTGGCTTTCTCTCAGACGTCTCCTGTCTTAAGCCTGCTGCGTTTGACCTCTTTCAAACTGACAGTCCGTCTTTCACTGTCTTTCTCCATAGGAGTTGGTCTGCAGCTGATCTCTCCCAAGTGTCTGTGTCAGTATTGATATCTATCAGGTAGCGTAGTTTTGTCCTTCCTGCTGGTCTTACCCCTGTTACCAGTTTGCCATACAGGAGATCCTTTGGAATGTGAACCGCCCTGAGAGTTCTAAGAGTCCCTGACATCATAAAAAAATTCTCATTCACAGTTCTGGCATTCTGTGTCCCGCATAGATCAGCATTGAGCACATCCATCCCCCATGTGGGTTGTGGAGTCCCAGTTTAGGGGAGGAAAAAAGAATAGACCCACTGCCATCCTAACAGGCATGTCGTAAAAGGTGACTAATTTAGGGTTTTCCCTTTTAAGTCGGAGCACATCTGCCTGAGAGGTAAGAAACCAACAGTCTGCACACAAATAAGATCTGTAAAACAGATGCACACGCAAAACTCAGGTCCTGGAACAAAGCCAAAGTCTAGAAATGGACAAAAAACCTGGACTTTCCATCAGAGGTCACAGATGTGAACACTATCAAACCAACAGTGAACCTATATTTCATTTTTATTTTATTTCATTTTATATATTTATTTGTTTATATTCCTCCTCCCCCTCAATTATTTTGTTTAATAAAAGTAGCCCTTTATGTCCATATTATTTCTATTACATTTTTCTTGGTTTCGTGTGGATGTGTTAATAAAATAAACATTTGCTGAATTAGGAAAATGATAGAATATATGAAGTGACCATAAACAGACAATATTTTATTGGGTCAGGAAAATTATATAATCTATGAAGTGACCATAAAGTGATAAAAGTTTGATGAATTAGAAAAATTATATAATTTATGAAGTGACCATATACAAAAAGAATCTGGCAAGTTGTTTTGCGCAGAAAGAAAATAATCAGAGTTGTTTCATAATCTGGTATTTTCACTTGTCTTTCATCCTTTGTTCCTCTGAAGTCTCGACGTCTTCACCTGGGACAAGAAGATCTAAGAGTTGCATCTTTCTTGTGGCTCCAGCAATGGCCATCACAGCATCAGTGGTAAACTAAACAATAGAAATGTATTATTAGTATATTTTCTCTTCTACACCAGGATGTGGGAGTCTTCATAATTAGGTACAATCAAACAGACACCTTAAAATGTTGAACTAAATAAACGTAAAGCCACTCAGAGATATGTTAATAGTAGTCCCAGCTTTCTGGGATAGTCTGTAGGTGTTCCATGACTAAACTAAAGAGTTAGTTGTAACTGACTCACAGAGCATGTTGAGAAAGGTATAGACAGGTATGCTTCATGCAGAGTTGCAGACATCGATTCAGAGGGCCTGTACAGTTAGCGTCCTGTGGATATTTTCTCCAAGTGATGCCAGTGTATTGAGAAATGAACAGACGGATAGACTGGTTGGCTCCACACAACTTGGTGGTGAGCTAATGCATGACAAGCTAGATCTTGCCAGGATCCTTTGGAAGCAAGTGAACAGTCTGGAGGCACAAAAAGATCATCATTGTCTGTGGAGAATGGTGCTGTGAGAAGAGACCAGGAAATCTGGCCCACACTCAAGAAAAAAGCGAGACGACTATACAATGAGTATTATGCCATCGGAATTGGAACTGTGCAGGCTGCTGAAGATGGGGACACAGCGCTTATGGGAATGCCCTTAAGATTTGCATTTTTTTTTTGGAGCATGTTGTGAACACCAATTGCCGATAAAAAACACAATGAAGATGTTTTGGAAGAAATTACGTCATACAGAGAACTGATTATCTGCATCAACAGAAGGCAATCCACATTTTCAAAACTTTTCATGAGAGAACTGAAGTATGTTATAGAAACAAAATTTGTCGAAAACAAAATTTGTATGGGTAGAGAGATAGGGAAAGTCTAGGAGATGTTGGACAGTTTGGTATCATGGCATGGAAAAATATCTGTATCAATGTTAATAGTGTCTGAATGTGCCTGTTTGTGTGGTCATCGGAGTCCCGGACCTGCGGGCTGCTGAACAGTAATCCAAAAAGAGTACATTCCGTGATGAGTGGAAAGAACAGCACATGGATGTGAGGTTTGGCAGTCATGTACAGGACATGAAGATTTCTTGGGTGAACCCAGTTACAGAGCATCATTGTTGGCTCTGCATTGAAGGAGGCCTCCTTGGATAGTGGGGATTGCCCATGATCTGCCCCTGTCTTCCTTTGAGGGCCAACCAGGCTACACACAGTTGCCCCGGATGGGTTATCCAGGGGGCAACACGTGTAAATAAAGGGACAGAGAGGATACCACACAAACAGGGCTAGGTCATATACCATGAAACCAACTGGGAAGGCTAACTCGGCTAACAAATGCCCGATGACGTTGGATGTGTAGGCCAAAAAGCACACAACGTGCAACTTAGCTGTAAACAGGCACAACACAATTATGTCGCTCTAACGAACAATGACAAAGAAGAAGAAAATACGTGTATTAGAAATGTCTGGCAGTATATGAGTCTAAATTCAACCTACATCTTGGCAGAGGGTTGTCTCCCCCCCCCCCCCCCCACACACACACACTTTTCTACCCCTACCTCCAAGAAATATTATAAATGATCTATGAAATATCGGTCTAGCCCTATATGCCCTATACAGCTGAGAGTGTAGAAAATGGTCCTTTACCATAATTTCTTCTTTTTTATTTTATTTTATTTTATATATACACAATTGTTTAGAGATCTTAATGTTTAAACGCCACTTTGAAACAAGGTGACAAGTTACTTGGGTAACTGAAGAAAGCGAAAAAAAAGAAAACAAAAATGAATCCTCTTATGACACCTCGTTTCTCTATAGGCAGAAGTCTATTGCCCTGTGGCAGCAAATACGTTTCTCACTTGCTTCAGTGTTGAATTTTTAACTGCTGTTAAATGCTCACCATATATCAATTCACAGTGTCATGCAAGATTGCATGTTTCTAGAAATTGATATTCTGTGACCTTTACATATCTCATGAAAAGTCTGACGCTGGAGAGATATTTATAACACTACAAATTTACACGCACAATGATTTTTGTGTAGCGAATGTGCATTTTTTGGCAACTATTAACCTTTATTATTTTTTTAACTACAGTGAAAAGGAGAAAAATGCAATGGTATGGACATGTTAAAAGATCTAACGGCCTCTCAAAAACAATACTGCAGGGCTCAGTAGAGGGAAAGAAGAAAAGAGCAGACCAAGAAAGACCTGGTTACAGAACCTAACTGACTGGACAGGCCTCAGGCATGCAACCATGAAGTCCATCGCACCTGACTGCTAAAAGTGGACAGAGCTGATCAGTCAACAGAAACTGGTGGCCCAACGACACGTAGTGTTACGGGATAATGACGATGATGAAATGTGTATGGTTTCTACCATAGATTGGCTACACAATGAAGGATATTTTAGCATCATGATGCCGGCCAGTGTCTGCATAACAAAAAAGACAAAACTTGAATACACTCCAACAGTCAGTCATCTAAGCAAATATCGTCTCCATAAAGAATTATTTCAGTACCAGTCATCATATTATTTGTGAAAGGGTTGTTCGACCCAAAAAAGGGTCGCGACCCGCAAGTTGAGAACCTCTGTTTTACTGTATTATTATCATCATGTACAGAACTTAGTCATAATAACACAACCCTTGACCCGTTAGGTTGTGGAGGTGTATCGATGGAAGCACTAACACACAAAACCCGCCAACTTTCTTCCCCTTGTAGAACACATGTATGATAACTTATTACCTTTTCTTGCTATTGTCACCACAGGTTCTTCTTTGCCATCCTCTTCTCCGACTACCTACCCTCCCCAAGGTTCCTTGAAGTACAGTCTTTGAAATTGAACCATATATAACATAACCCTTAAAGAAAAATATTTAAAAAAATACCCATATATAATTTTACCTTGAGTTTTCGTCTGGCATTGAATTCTTTGATCTTCTCAACTGTGCCTTCTTTGTGATTTCGTCTGTTGGCTATTCCTGCGACCCAAACATGTTTTAAAGCAGCTGCTGCAGTCAAACGCTTCTTTGGATCCACAACCAACAATTTCCTCACAAGGTCCTGAAGTCACAAATCATCTGTTAGGTCTGCTGTGTCAAATGCAACATTTTAAAGAATATTTTATGATTTTCGATGGTGCCTTATGCGATTAGTTGTGTGTAGTATTACTAATCTGTTGTAACCATTGTTTCCTTCGACGATGAACTGCATTTCTAGTGTCAGACTGTTTGTGTCAGCACTTCTGATGGCTGTCTTATGCGTCTGTATGCTATTGGCTTTGATGAGACTGCAGTTTGTGTCAATTTTTCCCATAAGGGACAGTTAGGGGCAGTCTGTGTGGTCTTTGTTAGCCCAGGAACAGACCAACTCTGGGGCGACCCATCTGTTATGAAGTTGGAACTGTAACTTCCTGATTCCATGACTGTAACTCTTTCAGAAGCTGCAGTTACACAGTGCTTGACATTTGCCTGCTGGCTCAAAGGTCTAAGGTTTGAATGTGTACCAGGAGAAGAGCTTTACATTTTGTCTTCTTCTGCATTCTCTTGTAACAGGTTAGATGGCACATTGTTGGCCCATGCTTGTTATGTGGGGACAGTAAGTCTGTCTCCCCCCCCCCCCTTTTTTTTTCAATGGGGACCAGGAAACGCACATATTTTTTTTTAATAATTGATCTTGACTCCCATGTCTACTCAGTCTAAAGTGGGTACCAGGAAAATCATGGGAAGTAGAGGCAGCAGCATGATGATCATGTCACTGACCAAGTGCTCACTGGTCAATAAAATATGAATGTAGCACCAATGCCCGATGCACTGCTAGGGGTGACGTTTTTTCCCCCTTAACTCTTTCAGTTTTAGAGAACTGTTACTTCAAGACATTTTATTCTTCAGTTATTTAATGTAGTAATTTGTGAGGTTCAATATAATAAAATTATGTGACAAAATGAGTTAACGTAACAGATGGTATATAGGAAATACGATGCCTGTAACTACCACTTTTAGGGAAGTGTAGAACAGGAGGGCCCGTGGTGTAGTGATTTCTGTCATGGGTATGAGAACAAGTTAAGGCCGTTGTGATGTCTATAAGTAGTTATTCAATACCTCACCTTGGGCACCAACCAGGTCTACAAAGGTTTTATGGATTCTCACACAAGACTCTTGCCACACGTCCTTGTTGTGCGCCACGCGGATAATGGCTCAACTCTGTGACCTAAACTGAATTGGGAATCTGGGAGTTGGTGGCCCCCACCTCCAACGCATGGGTGAAAACGCGTCAAAACTCATTTGGGGCATGGGTAAAGTCCCCAGGTCAGAGGTGTACAAGAGGTCAGAGGAGTGATCGCCTACGCCAGTCGCTAGATCAGTCGCTAGATGATGACACAGACAAGTGCAAGAGGTCTACGCTACTTGAAGTGTAAAACAAATAATCAAACATCCTAGAGAGATTGACGGGAAAACCCACAGCTCCAGGGGGTACAGGGAAACCCAAGTGGACCGGCCGCTAAAAGGTTAACCCTGCCCAAGTTAGTGCCTCTCGGTTAATGAGACAGAGCGGACGTGTGTGGACGGTTGTTAGTATTTATGTGTATTATTTCATTCTGTCGGAGAGTTTGGACTGTGCCCTTATATGTCACCAAAACGCCGCCCCGGTTCGTTGGTCAACAAATAAACTTGACCGAAGCACTACTACAGAAGACTTCTAGCGTATTATGTTGACACTGTTACTAGAGTGTTAGAAGTATACGAGGCCGACTGACTGTGATCTGTGATATTATTGAGTACCCCCTAGATACTTGGCAAGTGCGCGGTTCATCAGGCTGTTCATCGTGGCATTTCGCATGCGTCAAACCCAGCAGCGACTCGCTGCAGCCCACGGCCGGTGTTCGAAACCGGACGGTTCCCGGGGTTTACCCAGGCCTTAGGAAATAGGTACCAGGGTTAACACTCTGGGGTAAATGGAGGAACGTCGCTGTAGCTACGGAATTTCATGCGGACGGCGACACAGACAGACAGCGACACAGGCGGACAGTTTCTTATCAGGTGGCCGCACTGGTGGCAGAGCAATTATGGTTTATAACCGTGTGCAATGACGCTGGTTCACATCTCCCGACTTTACTTTTACCTTTTTTTTTTTTATGCGTCAGTTAGAACGTCAGTCGAGTAAAACAACTACAGAACTGCAGAGACTAATCCCTCAGCCTAGAGGTGCAAAATCTATTGGGAGCGGTATATCGCCGAATAGTACCGTCTCCATACATCCTTCGTCATCCCTCAACATTGCCATCACCGTGCTGAAATACACCACAACAATCTGCCACTGTCGGTCAGCTAATTGGGTACAAATGTACGTCAGATACATGTCATATGACTCAGCAACAAAATCTCAAATTGCCAAAAGCCCTACTAATTGACAGAAAGGTTCAAGTGTCCATTACCGCTGGCCCCACTCGCCAGGAGTATCGGGACCAAGCAGGGGGAAGCCATGTTGGATGCATACATTTACTGTGCAGTTTTGCTAAGTGTCTCAATGAAACAACGCTAAAGGTTTCTAACGTGCTGTATCTGTTGTGTGTAAGTGAGTGTGTGTATGGGGTCATTGAATTATGGACCTGCTGCTGTATGTTGATCTCTGCAGGACACTGACAATGTCAACTGGAAAGCTCAACGTACCAATGTGGGGTTAAGCAGTCGTTCAGAACATGGCGATTTCCTGGGCGAGCCTAGAACAAGGTTATTCAACTGTTTACTCAGGGGCAAACATTTAGAAAATAGGGATCGTCATGGGCCAGAGGCCCCGAGTTCCAGGATAAATACTTTAGTGTCGTTTTCCATACAGGACATTGCAGAACCAACCCCAGCATTGTTTGACTGTTGTGTTTCTTTGGCAAATTTACGTCTAGTAGTTTGCCATTGCTTTCTGGATGGTTGGGTCTCAATACTACTGTCGCATCCAAAGCAAGGTGCAAGGCCTGCAGCTGGGGTCGAACCCGGAATCCCAGCATTACAAAGCGCATTCGCAATGCCTAAGCCACAGACACCCCAGCATAGAAAGATCATTAATAGAATAGAACTGGCAATGATCAGCGGGCCACTTGCTAGCTCTGGCCTACGACAAGAGTATCACATGTTAGCTCTGCATTTATGGAAGCCTCCTTAGATGGCAGGGTACGCCCATGATCTGTCCCTGCCTTCTCTTGAGGGCCAACCAATCCAAATGCGGTTGCCCTGGACAGGTTCTCCAGTGGCAACACCTGTAGACAAGAAAACACAACACAAAAAAAGCCACATCATGTCCCTCAAAACTACCTGGGAAGTTGACCCGGTCAACAAATCTTCGCCGAAGTCAGATGTGTAAGCCAAAAGATGCAAATATCGTAGCTCTGCTGTAAAAAGGCACAATGCTTTTATGTCATTTGGATAAACGAAAAGAAAAAAAAGAACACGGAGGTCCTGAGACGGAGGGCTTGAAGCTTCACACCAAGAGCAGTCACCACAAACTGTGCAGGATATGACTTTTATTTTTACCCACTGAAGTAAATATATGGAAAATCATATAGTAAATATATTATCATCAGTCATCTGATCCTTTACCAAACATCTGAGAGAAACAATTTTTCATTACTTAAGTGAAACTCTAAACCTAGATCTACCAAATGACAGCCTTGCAGTCGAACCATTTGGACAGCTGCTCCTCATATGAAACTTAAATATTGAAAGAGCACATACAATTATAATGGTATTCTATCTAGAAACATTCAACAAACTGACTTTGGCATTGTCACTGACATCATCCCACCATGGCGAATCGAATGTGTAGTCTCCTTTCAGAATTTTCTTGAACATGGCCATCTGATTCTCATCATAAAATGGTTCATATCCACATAATCTGTAATGTGTTCAGGAATTATCATTTAATTAACAAATCAGGTTATTGATGAATATATTTTATTACATTTTTTTTAAACACACGAAGAATCCGTAACTGAGGGATCAGAAAGTCCTCCACACATATTATAGGACATCGTGTTCGATGTGCGGCAGGACAAATGTGTCTACAGACAAACGGAAGTAACCTGCTTGTCTTAGATCACCTACAGTTGTTTCTCTTACTCTATTAGCCAAGAGCTAAGTTCACCACATAATGTCTTTGAAAATAGGAAGGAGAGCCAGGTCCTTTGTTTTCTGGAGTGTTGCATGTTGTTAGAGACAAGTGGATCAACCTTAGCCATCAATTTTAACAAATCAAGGTGGTTGCCATTATTTGGCGATTTGAAACTTTTGTTTACTTTAAAAAAAAAAAGGATTTTTTTTTCTAAAATGCTCCTGTGAGGCCCTACGATGTAACTTAATTAGCGTATACCTAATCCAGCACACTGATTATAGTTTCATCTTTCATTCGTTTGAAATTGATTATCTATATCTGCAGTGTTGTCTCTAATATGAACTTTACAGTTTGCTGTAATTGAATCAGTGACCCCTAAAGTTTGGCTTGCACCGATGTTTCTCTTGGCCAGAAGTTTTGCATTGATATGTTGTTGACTGTTGGGACAGTCTTGGAGGATGTGATCTGTTGTCTTAGGAGCTAATCCACATGTACACATGGCTGATTTGCCAGTCTTAAATTTTGTGGCTGATTTTAGTGACTTTGCAGAGCCTGAAAATGAAAATTTGATTGTCGAGAGCTGTTAAAAAAAAAAAGCAAGTGAGATACTTCGGCTGCATTGAAAGACACAATACTCTTAAAACAACCAGCTAGTAATAACCACGCCTCAAACTTGGGACACAGTTTTTCGTTTTGTTGAAGCCCCACCCTGGCTTTTGCCGGGGCCGTAATATAACTTAACAGTTAAACATGGTTTCTAGGAACTCTCTATGGGTGATCCTCATCCACATGGTGACACTTTGTGTCACCAGGTGTTTATCACTTTGTGTGATGTCCTGGTGGGGTAAAACATACTTTACTTACTTAAAACAACTATTCTGCAGAGAAAACTTGAATAGAGGCAAGGTAATACATTAGTGGTTAGCAATTTGAGTAAGCAACACTCACAGAATGTATGTGATGACACCGACACTCCACATATCACAACTTTTAAAGTACTTGGCACCCTTCAGCACCTCAGGAGCTGGAATAATTATTTTCATTAGCAAAAACTATCAGCATCCTAAATTGTAACATTTAAATTTTCAGACTGACTGAAAGTCTTTGGAAGAAAGGGTGAAAAAGGGGGGGGGGGGGGGGGGGGGAGCCATGCCTGACCGCTAATCTGGTAGTCATGTGTTCAAATTCCCTTTGAAATTGGGGACTTTTTAAAGTGATCTCGGTTCTCCAGTTGACACAGCTTATAATAGGTAGAAGCAGGTTTTTTTTTCTGGTAGTACCCAATGGTAGACAGTACCGGCACCTTTTCTAGGAATCCTTTTTGTTTCAGCGCTACTGGAGAGTACTAGATAACACTTTACATTGAGTACTAGCACCTTTTTATAGACACTTTGTGGTGAGTACATACACTTTCATTTGCTAGAGGAACAAACATGGGTACAAGATATTTTCTTAGGAAGCCGATATGAGTAATATACTATTGACCATATCATTCACAAAGTGTCAATCTATGTTTAAAAAATAAAAATAAAACTGCATCTTGCACTATATACACAACGTGCCCCAAGTAGTAAAACAGAGTGGTTTATTTGTATTGGGACAGCTAGCCACCTCTTACTGCACACAAAAAAATCCCAAAGAAACATCCCATACAAAGCCTATTCATTTCCACTCTATGCTTCCAATGCCAGACATGGTAACTTATGACAAAACATTAGAGAAAAATAGTAAAAAATAGTGACCAGATAAAATGAGAAATGATGTCACGAGAGAAAAGTCTGCATAGAAACAAGGTAGACCAAGGACAAGATGGAAAGATAACAAAGAAACTCTGCAACAGCACAATGTATCTATGGGTAAGGCGGCCAGAGAGGCAGAACCTTTATATCGCACTCAAAACCTAAGCGGTAAAAGAGCAAGTGAAGAAGAAGAGGAAGAGGAAGAAGTGGTGACTGCACTAGCATCGCAGCTTGAAATTTTCAACCTCAAGACTCTCTAACATACACTGCCCTTGAGTTGAGTTGAGCTGAGTCAAGAATTTACATCACAGCACTTAGGCATTCCCATGCATGCCCCGTCCTCATCTTCAGCAGCCAACGCAGAGTTCCAATACTGATGGTAATGGTCACAATCTGGTTAAATGTCCGTCTTGCCTTTCCTCTGAGTGTAGTGAGCCGGCCAGACCCTCTGGTTACACCCAGGTGCCTCATTCTCTCCAGGCCATAATAATCTTCTTTCTCTACTGATTCCGTTGCTTGTTCCCAAAAGGCCTTGACCACATCTGCCTTGTCATGAATCAATTAACCACCCAGTGGTGCGGATCCAGCCAATCTGTCTGCCTGTTTATTACCCACCATCCAGGCATTGCCTGGAGAAGATGATCGAAAGTATATTCACCAATCTGACTTTTCCAGGCCAGTGAAGCCTAGCTAAGCATATCTTTGTAGCCTTCAAAGTCAAGACAGCTTTTACAAATAACTTCATATCGGAAAAGTCAGTAGTGGTGTCTTGCGATGGCTGCTGCATCGGAGGACTGAGCATAGATGAGAAGGCACAATGTGCATGATGTTAGTCACGATAAGGTAACATTAAATAAGTAATAAAATTGCCTGTGTGAGTTCCGGGGCCTTGTCCGGGAAAGGGGGGGGGGGGGGTGATAGACCTACTGCCCCCTTAACAAGCATGTTGCAAAGGTCAGCTAATTAGGTGTTTTCTTCAAAGTCATAGTACATCTGCCTTAGAACTGGGGAACCAACAGTCTGCTTACAAATAAGCAGATCTGTAAAATGGATGTGCATGCAAAATTCAAGTTCTGCAACAAGATTTTAGTCCAGAAGTGGATGAACACAGAGAGCTGAAACTCTGGAGTTTACAACTGGTGAATGAGAAGAAGAAGATGAATAAGAAGAAAAACAACAACAACAAAAAGAAAAAGAAGAAGAAGAAGGTAAGTAATAAAATCAAATAGGTATACTCACCACAGTACCCTGGTGTCCCACACACAGTCGTCATAGCAACCTTATCACTGACAATTGTAGAAAGTCCAAAATCGGCTGCAAAGTATAATTTGTTTTGCTCTTAACCAATATGCAACAGACTTAAACAAGTGTATAAACCTTTGTCTACTGATTATTGATTATCGATAGGGGAAACATAGGTGGATCTTTTATTAGGTTGCAACTGGCACTATTAACATGTCGAGTCTTCGCTGGCCACTGATGAAGGGGAGGGAGCACGTGTGGGAATGTCCCGAATGCAGTAATGTCAATTTATTCATTCATTCATTCATACTATTATCTAGAAGGACAGAAGGCCAATGAAGGTAACAAACATGAGATTTTCATAGGGATGATTTTTCCCCTTGGACGTCGGTTGGAAAACTTCTGAAACTAAATAAGTCAAAGAGCTAGATGACAAAATTCTTACCAATTTTTAGCTTTGATTCCTGGGAGGGATTCTCACAGAGGATGTTTTCTGGCTGTAGAAATCAAACATTTTGGTATGACTAGGTAATGTATTGCAGTAGTGGTTTCATATACATATATTTAGGTAGATATGTAGATAAAAATGGGTCAATAGAGAAAGATATTTAAAATAAAAATAAAATATAATACAAAAAGCAGAAGGAATTTTCATAGCTTTAGGAAACCTGTGAAAGGCATATAACATTAAAACTAGTACCAAATTTTCAAAGATTTAATGTCAAAGTCAGCTGACTAATTAGGGGTGTTATCTTCAAAGTCAGACTGCATTTGCCTAAAAAGTGAGGGACTAACAGTCTGCATACAAATAAGCCAGATCTGTAAAATGGGTGTGCATGCAGAACTCAAGTTCTGGAACAAGACTAAAGTCCAGAAGTGGATGAACAACCAGAACTTTCTGTCAGAATGTACAGCCGGTGAACAGAAAGATTCAGAAGAAGCATCAGAAATATGGAGAATGATTAAACAATTTTAAACAGCAAAAATTCATTAACTAGAGGTGAACAGAAAAAAAGAAATGAAATGGTATGACAGCATTACTAATGTGAAGCTAAGGGAGAGAAAAAAAACAAATTCAAACGAGTTGAAAACAAAAATGAGAAAACAATGTTGGAGCTGAATAGGAAACACACTTAGAAAACCTGACAATTTTCAGTTTGAATTGTTTACAAGTTTTATTATTTCCTGTATCCTATGTGCCACGTGGAATCAGGGAGTCGCTAAATAATTCTCCCCTGATTTTACATGTAGACTATTTTCTTATACTTAAGTCACATAATCATCTCTCAAATTACAAAACAGTCAACAGTATATAATAATTCCAATAAACTGCACTGCACAATTTACTGACCGGCATATTTTGCTTTATATTGTCAGGTGCATTTCTATGTAGTTACCACACACCAAACAGGTGGTTTTTGGAATTATGGAAAATGGTCGAAGCTGTGACAATTAAAAACGAAATATCCCTCATAGTGAAAAGAAAAAGAACGCATGGTAAATGTCAAACTTCCATGATAACCACATGGCGATCTTGAACTTCCAGATGTGAGATATCTAAGTGTAATTAGAGAAGACAATGTGATTTGTGTATATCAGTGCTTCTTTATGTTTTGATCTAACCCTGTAGTAATCAATCTGACAAGATACAGTGACGTATACCAAGTGCTTATGTCTGCATTTTTAATTAACTACATGAAAACAATGTTCGAAAAAAAAATTTTTTTACAATAAATGCAGCTTACCTTCAAGTCTCTATGGACCACATCATGATTATGAAGGTACTGGGAAAAAAAATAATTAAGGAATGGACAATAATATTTAACTGAAGGAAAAGAAGCAAAACATATGATCCTTTTCTGTGCCGTGTGGCATATTTACTATTTACACCTCATCTCATATTTTTATAGGTCAGTCAGGGCTCAGTGGGTGGTATGATCAGTATTATGCCAGCCATGTTTACTTCACAGAACATGTCCTGCACCGAGGCGGGAACCAAGCAAATGTTTTAAATTCATTCCTCTAGGGGGTCGCCATGATGTAGCGGCTAAATGTCCGCCTGTGGATTGGAAGGTTGTGGGTTTGAGTCCTGATGGAGCAAGGCTTTTTTTTTAAAATGACCTTGGCTTCCAGGTCGACCCAACCTTAAGTGGGTACCAGGTGCAGTCCTGGGAAGTTTAGGTGGCTGGCATGATGTTGACCACATTACCCATCAAGTCTAGCCCTATGTGCCTAATATGTCTGAAGACGTGGAAAAGGGTCCTTTACTTTTACTTTACTTTTCAAGGGGAACTGGAACATGACACATGAACACAGGCAAATGTGATAGATCCTTCACACTGTGATTCCCATAAAAAAAGGGGTGTAATAAATTTTAGTTTGGTTATCTTTTGCATAAATATGCATACTCCACGGGCAACAGAATCATGCTAATAGAACCCGTTGGAACACTTCTATTCTAGAACACAATGCCGAAGATCCAATCAACCTCTTCATAAGAAAGAAATAGATCACTGCATTTAGACTGCAAAACAGACACAAAAGACTCTGCAGCTGTATGTACAGAGAATGTAAGACTGGGGACTCAGAGTTTTGCCCATGTGAACAGGTATCTCAGAGTACTAAACACATGCTGCAGACATTCTTCTGCAAGCAGTATAGAAATCAAAGGTCTGGCAATTTAGCATTCTGGTGGAAACTATACTGTATGGATCAGTCGAGCACATACCTCACACCACAGCCTTCATCGAGGTCGTCTGCATTCTCATCTGCAAACCACTGGTAGAGAGAATGAAAAGATGATGATGATGATTCATGCAACTTAGCATAAATTTCCCTGTGTGGGTTCCAGTACCTCACTGGGGGAGGGAGGGGTGGGGGTGCGGGAGAGGGGGGGGGGGGCTTACAGGAGATTGTTCCACTGCTCTCTAACAAGCTTGTCATAAAAGGCAACTAATTAGTAGTCTGCTGGTCTGCTGAAATTGAATGTGTTGGACAGAAAAGGCAGATATCACAGCCCTCTGTAAACAACAACATAATGTGCCAATGCTCTTTTAAGTGCTATTGCAGAAATCGAAGAAGAAGGAGGAAGAAGAAAAAGAAGAGACAACGTATAAGATGTTTATTCACATATAACTAAATTTGCTAAACTTGTGCTAATGTGATGTGCAATAAAAACCAGTCTGAATAAAGAGTGTTTGTTTTTCATTATATCTCATTAGGAAAAAAAATGTACAAACAAAACTGACTCATGCTTACTTCTACACCAGTTATTATGTCTCTCACTGCCGTTGCTGCCTGCTCCTCAGAGTAATATTCTTCATTAGCAATTCTATATAGAAAGTCATTCAATTATTTTTAAAAACTTTTGTAACAACTGGACCAATAAGAAAAGAACTACTGACATTCTAAAAGATCGTAATTCAAGGAAAATTGACTTGTAAACAGCATACTGTCTCGGAAACTGAAATATATGGCCATATCAAATGCCATAGTAGATTGAAAAGAGCAGCAGAGGCAGGGTTGGTATCAGGTAAGAGGGGTAGGGGCTGACCAGCATGAAGATGGTAATGAGACATAAGAGACACCTTGGACAGGAAAGGGCATGAGGTGAAAGAGCTGGCAAAGGAATTAGTTTCTTTCAGGCTGGCCACGATGGGAGTGATGTTCTGTAAAAAACCTGCTATAAGATGATTATTAATTTGATTCGATGACTAAACTTAAAAATGTAAATGCTTTTAAAAAGGCAAAGACATGAAAATTACTTATAATGAACATCAGAGGGAAACAGTAAATATTTTGTTCACGTTGTGGGGAAAAAAATCCACTGAGACTTGTAAAAGCTTGTAAAATTAATGTAAAAAGAGACTTAGAAATGCAGTAATGTAAGACACTTTGCATCATTTAATTACTGTCTGGAAAGATGCCAGTACATAAGAATCCCACTGTCACACCTTGAGGTGTGTTGGACATATGCTTCAAACTCCATTTTTATTTTTCTATAATAACGCATTCCTGACATTGTCTGGGTAAAATATATTCATCAGGAGATCTGAAATCATATTCTCTCTCAAAGTAGGCTGCACACACTTTTTCCAGAGGTTATTCTACTGCATAATGCTTTCTTATGACTCAAACACAGTTCCTTCCATAACAATTTTTAACTCAGATAACAATCAAAATTGCAAGAAGTGAATTATTCTTGATAAACCATATACATTAGTACTTGGCCAAGAAAAACTTAAAGTGAAGCTTTATTTCTCAGGAAATTTCCTGGTACGCATTATAAACTTTTCTGATCTAGGAGACCAGGTCAGACTTATAATCTGTATGAGAACAGAAAAATTACTAAGGCATTTATCGAAGAAACAACAAAAAAAACTGTAAACTCATTAAAGAAATTAGACCAGACAGTTCAGTCGTTTGAACTTGTTATGAAAAAAAAAATTATAAACGTACTGACAACTGGCAAACTTGGTTGTAAAACAGCAATGGAAAGACAAAGAGACACCTGGCTGGCCTGACCATATGGCAAATCAAGGAAGTTTGGGAGGGGCTGAACAAGAACACAGATCAGTTCAGTGATTCTGGTGAGCATGTAATATGGTGATGTAAAATGGTGGACCTAGCATATGAGGACGGGTCGTTGCTAGAGCCATGTGGTCATGTAAACAAATCTCTGCCTGCAAGGGGAATTTTATCTCAAAATCAAAGGTCAGTAGACGTGGTGACTAACAATGCTTAAAATTACATTATTAGTACAACAAAGTTTAAGAGCAATCATACCTTTCAAACAGTTCTGAGCCTGTTACTAACTCCAGTACAATATATACGCACTCCAGTGTTTCATACACTTCTTTCATGCGTATCTGAAGATTAAAAATAACTGAAGCTAGCGGAAATTTTTCTAAAGAAAATCACATGCTATGGATCAGGATTACATCTGGGCATTATGATGAAATGTCCAAAATTCTTCTTCTCCTCCTCCTCTTCCTCCTATTTTCTTGTGCCTTATTTACCTTTGTTGTGGAGCATAGGCCCTCCACCAACTCCCACCAAGCCTTCTTGTTGTAAACTGTCTCCAACAGCTCCCTCCATCTCCTCCCCATATTTTTCATCTCTACCTCTAATTTTAATTATCATGTGTTCATGTCTCCCTCTTATTATTTTGTCCTGTCAGTTTCAACAGAGGAACTTTCTAGTTATGCCACTAACAGATGTTCTCAGTGAGAATCGCACCCAGTACTAACATATTTTCCTCAGCTGTTAAATTCACTTGGATACAGATGCTTGTTGTTGGCCTTTTTTTCATCTTTCCAGACAACAGTGTTATATTATGCTATAGGAAGGCATGGAGATCACAGCTCATGGCAATGGCCAGTGTTAGTAGCATGACCCGCTCAAATTATGAAGTCTTCCTCAATTAGAGCTTGGGGATTTCAGGACAGGACCATTGTTGCCATCACATGATTTAACATGCACAAACGTTCAGATCTTAGTCTATCTGCAATTCTTTTCTCCTTTATCCCCATTCTCTTCCCGATTGTTCCTCTCCTTGCAAAACAACTTATGGCACCCTGTTCCTACAAATTTAATGCAGTACTTGTATCTTTCATGTTCTTCTTGCCCGACATCTTTATATCCTGGTAGAGGCCGACCTTGACCTCGTCTACCCATATGTAATTCGTCATGGAGGATGTCCATTAAGATATAGTTCTCTCCATAAACTCTGCATAAAAGATTAAATCATACCATTCAACTGCTTTTGTTCTATTTAGGCAGCAGTTTTTCGTCTTCTTTTTCTTTTTCACGTTCACTGGCTGTACACTCCAGTGAAATTTTCTGGTTGTTCATCCACCTCCGGACTTTAGTCTTGTTCCAGAACCTCGGTGTTGCATGCACAGATCTGGCTCATTTGTATGCAGAATGCAGGTTCTTTGGCTGTCAGGTGCACTGCAACTTTGAAAGAAGCCCCCAATTAGTTGACTCATACAATTTTCCTTGTGGAAATGCAGTGAGCCTTTTCTTGTTTTCTCTACAACGGGGCCCCAGAACCCACACAGAGAGCAACAGTTAACGAATTACTTTAACGTACACCTACTATAAAATGTAACTAATTTAAAAGATGGTTAAAACTTTTAGGCCAGACCAGGATGTAATAATAAGTATTAATAAATTTAAAAGTTCTTAAAAATTTCTTATGCCATCTTAAAACATATTATGTTGTATTAGTAGCCTAGTGCATCACTGCTGTTGGCTCTACCTTCTTTATTTAGTGTTTGAGTATTGTCAAGTCAGTCTCACACATGTTCTCTCTCTGTCTGTCTGTCTCTCTTTCTCTCTCTCTCTTTGTTTAGTCCCAGTAAACTTAGTGATAAAACTGTATAAGGGGATTGCCAATAGCTTTGTTAGAAAAGACCCTTCCGATAAAATAAGACAAAGACACTGGAGTATAAATGATAAATGAAATAACATACAATATTTGGATGATCTAGTCTTAGCAGTATTCCTATCTCTGCGACCACCGGCTTCATCTCAACCTAAAATTATAACAATCAGTATGGTTAAATTAGGATCAAAATAAGTGAAGAAAAACTGCATTTCAGAAAATTAACAATTATCATCACCATCATGTGCCTTGCCAGATGGCTTAGATGTATCTCCACAGATCAGTTCCAAGTGTTTTTGATTTCTATTGGTAATATTCTTCTATGCCATGTCTTAGATCATCTATGACAATTTTTGCTGGTCTACCCTTGCCCCATCTACCGCTGATTTGTTCTGTCATTGTGATGTTTTCCAATGCTTCCCTTCTCTTCACTTTACCACACACAAAAATTGCCTCTGAAAATTTTGAACAAACAGAGAAGAAGAGTGAGGAGGAGGTGAATGATTAAGGGAAACAGAAGGGGAAAAAAAGAATAAAATGAGGAGGAGAAGAAAAAAAAGAAGTAATACAATACCCAACAAAGAAAATATCTTTATGTCCATAATGCTCACAACATCGCTGCAACTGACATTTGAAGGTAGTATAGAAACAGGACAATTATGGTTTATTTAAACATATGTGCGTACATATGTGCATTAATGTGTAATGTATGTTTGTCTACAAAACGAAAAAGTTATGGAAAATACAGCATATATTTAAAATAAAATGAAACATTTACTAAGTGCTTTGACATGTAAGAGATTGGGGACCTCCTTATGAAATATTCTCAAAGACATCAATGTATGCAATGTATCCAACCTCCTTTGTGGAGATGATAAAACATTGTGTGCTTATGATAAAAATAAACAAAACCACTAACAACAAAAAACCTGGCCAAGGTGATCAATGGAGCTCACATACAGCCATATACTCACTTTCTTATCTATGACCTTAACTGCCCAAGCCTGATCAGTCCCTTTGACAGTACATTTATATACTCTTGCAGTGGATCCCCTGTAAAGAATACACAGTTTTATTAGCAGTGTAAGCCAGTGGATGATAACAAGTAGATACAAGTTGACATACTTATTTCTGGTCCAAACCAGTTAGATTTTTTAATTTCCAAAATGATTTTGGCTCCCAGGTCAGCCAAGCCAAAATCGGCACCAAATAAATTCCTGGCGAGTAGCGGTGGCCAGTGTGATGTTGGCCACATTACCCACCAAGTGCAGATGACATTACAAAAATATGAGTTGAGCATATATTTATTTATATCATTCTATAACAGTAAGAAAATTGTGTTTACACCAAACATTTCTTATTATTATTGTTGACTGGCCAAGTTGCAGATCAATGTACACATGGCCAGATACATCTGTACTAGATCTTAAAGATTTAAATATTAAATGGAGTTCCTAACAAAACCTAGTTAGTCTGTCCTATCAGCTCAGCCTTAAATGGGTATAAGATAATGTTCTGGAAGGTAAAGGTAAGCTGCATGATATTAACCACATCATTCATTCGATGCCTATTAATCTATAAGAGTATGGGGATTTCATCTTATACTCAATATGCCTTCTTCTTCTCTTCCACCTTGTACCTCAGCAAGTGTCAGGGAGAGATGTAACATCCATTGATGAGCTTCGTCAAGAGCACTATTAAGAAAGACTGATGTTTATTTCTGTAAGGCTGTTCTCAATGCCATCACTCCATATTTTCCGAGGTCTTTCACTCGCTCTATACTCATTGTAATGTTTTAGTGTGGCTCGCTGTGGCAGATAGTACCAGAGTATTCTTGTTAGGTGTCCAAACCACTTCATTTGTTGTTCTTTGATGACTTGTAAGACTGGCTTTATTCCTAGCATTTGTCTGATTTCGTATTCTGTCTTTCCTTGAAACTCCTGCAGCTCTTCTAAGGCATTTCATCTCTGTTCTCACAATTTTACGTTCACTGGAGGATGTAAGTATACCACTCAATATGCCACAGGGATTAAAAGAGGGCAATTTATTTATTTACACAGTGCATAATTCCTAAAATACCATGGACTAAGAGAAAGAAAAATGCTGACATTCTACATGATCCGAGCATCAAAGAGGTGGCCTGGAGAGAACAGTAATGGTGGGTACAGTTTCTGGAAAATGGGGCAGAGGCAGACCTACGCAAAGATGGTTAAGAGACATTTGAAGATGCACTGGCTATGAAAGCACATAGGGCTGGAGAACTGGCTTGAGAAGGAAACATTAAGAAATGCTGTGATGAGAGCAACATCGGTAAAGAACCTGCTGGTTGATGACACAGTGTATAGTTCATGATTTATGCATAGCTCATGGGAGGAAAATGTATGCAAAACTGACATACCTGCCAAGCTCTTTCCCCAGTGTATAGTGATCTTCAAATGATTTATTTTTTATGCTTTCAGCAATCCAATAGCTTTGAATTTTGCGTGGCATTCTGTTAAATAAAAATAAGAACAAAAGAGTAATAGACAACACTGTATGTATGCTTGTATGGAAACCTAGATATTTATACATACAGGAAGATGGAAATTATCCAAGCATTTGTTAAACTGCTTGTTGTGAACATAAATGAACCTTCACAAAATATCAATATTATGAGACATACATATAAGGTCATGTTGTCACGGTTTATCATCTCACACAATCATCAAAAAATGGGACAGGATCTGTGTTCCTGTTTTGATTATTTCATGCAGCCAAAGCATCAAGATATTTATCTTTTTGGTTTTCCTCTGGGCTTTCCTCATCAAGTTTACCAGTTATCAATTAACTATCAAATTAATGTTAAATTTTTAATTCTCAGGTTATAAATTCTTGTGACGAAGTAGTGTCTCATTTGTTTTTCTGTAAATGTATGGTATTTTCTTCATTGGGATTGCTAGTGTATTTGTAGACATGTGCAAAAGCTAACAACAGGTTTTCTCAATCTGTGTGTGAATGTCAGTGAATTTGTGTTCCTCTCTTGATATAATGTTTAGCTCTTTCAGCTCTCCTTGCAATAATGGTCGCTAGTTGGACGGCGACGGCCACTTCGTCGGAGTTCAGTCCCCTGGCTGCAGTGCAATTACAGAGTGGAAAAGAGGGAACAAAACAAATGACATAAGTAGGGGTAGGGTTTGGGTTAGGGTAACACATGTAACGTTAAGTCTTGCGTCGCAAGAACGCGGTCGCTAATGTGAGTCGCAGCGCGTGGTCTAGAAGCCATGTTGAACTCACTTTGTTTTGTGATTCGTGGCTTTTCCACTCCGTAATTGCACTGCAGCCAGGGGACTGAACTCCGACTAAGCGGCCATCGCAGTCGAAGTAGAGACCGTTATTGCAAGGAGAACCGCCTGTCCTACATCAACCCTTCTTAGTTGCTCTGTATGACATTCATGATAAGTTTCAGTGTTGAACCATAAGACACACAACTGTCACCATGGAATTTCTCTACTGCCCACCCTTGAGAAAGTACTTATTGCTAGATTAGTATTAGTTGCAACTCTCGTATATACACACACATTTTTTTTTTAAATTAATTCTTATTGTATTCTTACTATTACTGCATTACTTAATGATACTGATATCCGCCTTTCCGTGATATTCTGGTACACTATATTATGAATATTATGCAGAAGACCAGGATAGCAGACTCCGATGGTTAGTTGCGTATCCTTTACAGGACGCTGCAGAACAAACCCTAACAGCCCCTGGCTGTTGTGTGGTTTCTCTAGGCAATTTACGTCCAGTAGTTTGCCATTGCATCTGGACGGTCGGCTTTCTTGATACCACTGTCGAAACCAGCGCATTGCCCGCAGCTGGGATCGAACCTGGCATCCCGGCATTACGAAGCGAAGCGTTCGCATCGTCTTAGCCACAGAGCCGACAGAATCCGATGAGAATATACTAAATATCTGCAGTCTGTCCTAAAAAAAAACACGAACACCTACGTTTATGTAAAACTCACTATTCATAGTATTTAATACATTGTCCATACCATACAGGTGTGCTTGTTCTTCTCAACCTGCCAAGTTTACTCCATAAATGTTTAGCTAAGATTAAACTAAAACATTTTAGTTTAGTTTTACATTAGTTACCTTAGACGCCTCACTGTTGCTATGTTCTTCAAAAATATAGACGAAGTTTAAAAAACTACAGATATATATAAAATTAAAACATTTAACACGTAGTTATTTTGAAATAAAAATACGTAAACCAGTTATTATAAGAAAAACAATATATTGATTTAAATATATAAGTATTAATTTTATAAGAATTTAAAATTTTAGGAATATAAATCTAATTTTTGTTTGGAAACTTTCAATAGGTGTAGATACATTTTGAGTATGGCGGCTTTCCGAGAGCACCGGATTTGAAAATGAAATCTGTAATCATTAAACAAACCGGTGCTTTCGCGAAAAGATTAGTTTTAGGTAGTGTTTTCTCTGTACATACAGGATGATTACTTCGTTTAATGAATATTAAACGCATTCCTATTTAGTGAAGCTATACACTTGTTACGTATGTAACTGTGCGTTGCGGCTACACTAAATCATTTAATGCAGGGAGATGGGGGAGGGGACTGCATTCTTCAATGAGAAAACTCGTTAGACAAGAACTCATTTTTTTTAGTTGCGTATCCTTTACAGGGCGTTGCAGAACTAACCCAATCAGCCCCTGGCTGTTGTGTGGTTTCACTAGGCAAATTTACGTCCAGTAGTTTGCCATTGCCACTGAACGGTCGGCTCCCTGATACCACTGTCGAAACCAATCAAGGCGTATGGCCCGCAGCTGGGATCGAACCCGGTACCCCGGCATTACGAAGCGTTCACATCGACTTAGCCACAGAGCTGACAAGAACTCGTTAGATAAAGATATAGAGCCTTCCCCTATTTTGTATAGCAGAAAATTACGCATAGTACGTAATATTTTACCGACTAAAACAGGTATAAGGTTGTGGTCCCTAAACTATCAAGCCTTACTAGCCATACAACTATACTCCAACCCCCCCCCCCCCCCCTCCTTTTTTTTTTCTTTCTACCCATACATCGGTAGTGTTGGCTACTTAAAGTTCATAATGTCACACACACTTTTTGCTTCTCTGACATCTTTTCACTACCACCGAGCACAAAATTATTAATTCAACCACATTAGCAGCCTCTAATCTATGGTAAACCAAATTACACTGGTGCACAGTTATTGTAGTTCTTTTTCTTCGCGTTCACCAGCTATACACTCTGGCGGAAAGTTCTGGTTGCTCGTCCACTACTGAACTGCAGTCCTGCTCACAAACCTGAGTGTTGGGTGTGCATCAGTTTTACAGATCTCATTCTCTTGAATACAGACTGTTGGTTCCTTGCCTCTCCGGCTGATGCACTCCGACTTCAAAGGAAGCTCCCCAATTAGTTGACTCTTACGATATGCTTTTGGGGAGGCAGTGGGTCTATTCTTGTTTTCCCCACAATGGGGCCCCGGAACCCACACGGGGGGGTTATTGTAGTTTTGTTCAGTCCACACATTCTCACCTGCCAAAGACATTTAAGAAGCATGGAATCCTCAACTCCAGCAACATCCTTCAGGCATTTCAGCAAAAACAACAACAACAAAACCAGAATGATGCAGTGTGAAAACAAACATGCAACTTTTAAAGCTCAAGATTTTTAGTTACCTCAACTCCTTGGTTGACCCAGCCTTAACTAAAAACACAGGATTGTGACATTGCTTTGAACATCTAAATATAAGCCACCAGTATGATATTGATAACATTACCCATCTACTACCAAATGACCTAAAATATTGGTTGAGCATCATATAGATCAGTGGTTTTCAGCCTTTTTCAGGTACCCCCCCCCCCACAACCTGAATATATGGAACCCCCACCACACACACACACACACCACCCACCCTTTCTGACCTGATTAAAAAGAGGAAGGCACATTTCAAAAATCCCAAGCACTATTAACAAGAACTTGGAGAGAAACACCCACATAAAATCAAAGTGTTGCATGACATAAAGTCCTTGCTCTTTTTGTTTTATATATAGTTTAACAAATATGTTATTTATAATTAAACAAACAAATATTACAAGTACATATGCATTCAAGAGTCGCCATGGTGTAGCAGCTAGACATGCTCCCCTAGGGATCCAAAAGCCATGGGTTCAGATCCGAACAAAGCCAGACTTTAAAAGAGAAAAAAAAGACCTTGGCTTGCAGGACGACACGGCCTTAAACGAATATTAGGTAATGTCCTGGGAAGTAAAGGTGGCCCGTGTGATGTTAACCACATCACCCATTGAGTGCCGACTGGTCTATAAAATATGCCTAAAGGTGTGTAAAAGAGCCCTTTATTTTAATTATAAATGCATTATTTTCAAAATTACTCGACCCCACCTCCCCTTTCCTTACACGCCTCACCCCAGCCCAAAAAAGGGGTACTAAGGAATGTTCTGGAAAAGTAAATGAGGCCAAAGTGATGCTGACCACACATCTAGTGCTGACCGTTCTATACAAATGTTGGGCTAGACTGTGTACCACTTTGCATCAAAGTATAGATGTTGTCCTTTATCGTGCTTACATATATATCTAGTCGCAGTTTACAGTGCTGCATTTATGAACTTACTAAATTAGCAACAATCTGCAGAGACTTAAATTTCTTTTATCACAAATGCAATTTTTGTGTGTGTATATATATGTATTTTTTTAAATACAATTTTCTTTAAATACACTTTAAATTTTACAAATGTTTCAAGTTGTAACGAGAAGCTTTTTAGAAGATTATATAATATAATTTCTGCGATTTGTGCATGCAAACTTCATTATTTCATTTCATAAAAATTAAATAACAATATATTTCCATTACCCATTTATTTAAAGGGCTGATATATTTTAAAGTTTTATCAAATTAGCTGGTGCAATTTAAGACAGTAGGGGCCTCAAGGCTTTATATAGGTTAAGGCCTCATCAAGTCTGAATCTGGCCCTGTCAGTATACCACAGGAGCATGAAACAAAGCTCCATACTTTTTTTCCATGTGTGTATATGAGTGTGCATGTGTGTTTGTAATGCATGCCACTTCATTTCCTTGTTACAGGTCAGTATGATATACTCTTCTGTAGGTGTCGTTTGGTCACTCCATGTACAGTGACTTATCTGTACAGAAGGTAACACATTCTCCTTTTCCTCTTTTTTCATCTTTTTCTTCTTGTTCTTTTTTCTACTACTACTACTACTACTACTACTACTACTACTACTACTACTACTACTACTACTACTACTACTACTACTACTACTACTACTACTACTCCTACTACTACTTCTACTACTACTTCTTCATCTTCATCTTCTTCTTCTTCCTCTACTACTACTAATATTACTACTACTACAACTACTACTTACTACTACTACTAATACTACTCACTACTACTTCTTTATTTTCTTCTTCTACTACTACTACTACCACTGCTGCTGCTGCGGTAGCTGCTACAACTACTACTACAACCACTTCTACTACTACTACTACTAATACTGCTGCTGCTGCTACTACTACTACTACTACTACTTACTACTACTTCATTTTCTTCTTCTACTACTACTACCACCGCTGCTGCTGCTACAACTTCTACATCTACTACTACCACCACCACTACTACTACTACTACTACTACTACTTCCTCTTGTTCTTTTTATTCTTCATCTTCTTATTCTTCTTCTTCTTTTTCCTATTCTTTTTTTTTCCCCCACCCGCTCAGTTTGCCTATTAAAGTAAAAGTCTACACGCCAGTGGTATGTTAAACAAGTGAGGCTAGACTCACATTTTTATAGACCAATCTGCCCTCAAAGGTTAATATGGTCAACATCATACTGACCGCCTTTACTTTCCAGAACTTTACCTGGTACCCATTTAAGGCTGGGTTGACCTGAGAACAAAGGTCATATGTCAAACAAACAAAAAGTTTGGTTCCATGCCAGTTTGAACCCATGACCTTTGGATCCGCAGGCAGGCATCTAATCGGGGCTCCCCAGTTTGCCTATTACCGCAGATTCACTTATGAATATAATCACATCTTAGATGTGAGTTTTCATTTATCAACTGTTGCACTGATGCTTCTGTATCACCAGTTATCCATTCCTGCTGTCCTCTGTTAGCATTACTGTCATTATTCAAGGCTGCATTGTTAGGTCCAACATGCATCATCTGGTCCTCTCACAAACATGTCTTAAATTATTTGCCTATAACATAGCTGAACTTTCCCTCTTCAGCCCAAATCCCTCGGTACCACTCATAGTCTAATGCAGAGGGTACTGCTTGCACAAAGGACTAGAAAAGAAGTACTAAAATAATATGACAGTTAACAATTTACTTGGAACTAATATAAAGAACTAAACTAATTCATGGAACTAAAAGGTGAAAAAAAATTACACTGCCAGTGAATAGGGGACACATTAGAATAACTTTTAAAAGTATAACTCTAACTGCGGTGGAATTCATGGGGCAAGAGAAATAGAAGATGGCTTAAAATATAAGGGTAAGATAATTAGAGAAATATATTTATAATCTGTTGAGGACATACTGTAAGCTGCAGAAGAAAGCAGAGATTAGGAACGTTTGATGCAAGTTGTGTGTGTGTGTGTAGTTTGTTCCCTCCAAGATTGCAATCAGCAAAATTAATACCTTAAGCATGAGAATCAGACATGCGCAAATCCCTGAAGTCCCATTCAACCATGACAGTTATACAGTAACATTACGTCCAGACTCAGCAGAAATGTTAATAATGTAAGTCCGTTTAGGGCTCATTCTCCATTAGGGTGTAATGGTGAAAGGAAGAGGAGCGTAACAAGTATTAGATGAGCACCGATGATTTCTAAATTTCTTACTGTTTATCATTTGATACTCTTCATTGTAAATTGTGCATATTCTATTGATGTAATTGTGTTTTGTGTGTGTGATATGTTCATATAATATATAATTTCCTAAATGATCTCATTTATGGTTTAAATTTCAGATCTGATGCAGACATAACATCAAGACCCTATCAAAGTATATGGAGTAAAAGAGCATCAGCATTACAAAGTGTACCTTACAAATCAAAGTATCTTATATCACTATCTGACTTCACTCAGGCAGCACCAGTGTTGTCCGCCTCTCCTGGTCTATTAAAATGCAGCCATCATCAAGTCTTATTTTCTCAATATTTATTTGCTCCTTGCTCTGTGATCCTGTGCCAAAAATATCCAAACAATGTCTATTGTCAAAACCAGCAGTATAGAAGTTTCCGGAGTGCCACAGCTTGGTGGAAAGATGAGTCTAAAGTTGAAAAAACTGTGAAAGCGTTGAAAGGCAGTGCATCTGAGGATGAAGTAGTGCCAACAAAAACTGAATCTGCAGTCGCTCCCAAGAAAACTCTCTGGCAGCGTTTTGTGGCCTTCTGCATACATTATTATCACGGGTTTCGTCTCCTGGCTATTGACATGAAGATATCGTCCAAGCTGCTGTGGCAGTTGCTACGTGGGAAAAGTTTAACTCGGCGAGAACATAATCAAGTAAGACTGGTCTTCTTCCACTCTGATTCTCTTTTAAGGTGAGAATGTTACACTTAGCTATGCATCACTGAAGTCAGTAGACTTGATGCATTTATGTAGGGTTTACTTTGTCTACACAGGCTCCATTCAAATTTGTACGATATGTCTACCCATGTTTTCTGAGAAAAACAGTTTTGCCAGGATCTTGTGGCCTGCTTTTTATAATAGTCAGCTGCCCCCTAAAAATCTTTTAAAATTAGATTTTTCAAAATTATTTTAAAAATAAACACATCATTATAATTTTCTGAAACTACACGATCAGAAACTAGAGGCAGAGAAGAAGAAGCGGAAGAAATTGGAGCCTTGGTCAGTTTTTAGAAAAGTCTGTGTGACTGCTAAGCAGACGGGCAAGCCTGCTAGCTATTGCGCCATCAGGGCCTAAAGTCACCAAAAAGATGGATTTGTCTTATTTTGAGTCAATATTTACACAAGGGCAATTTGTTTGTATGAAGCCAGATAATTACTGAATACAAACAGTGCAAGAAATAACTACATTCCTTCCCATTGACTAAGAAAACTGGGGTTTGAGGTTTGAACAACAGATCATCGTCATGGCACACGGGTAGTAACCCATAAGTGCTCCGTTCTTTCTTCTAACTCAAGTCTGAGTCTAAAGAAGCTCGGCACAGTGCACGGGCTCTGTAGCGTCGGCAAGGATCCTGAAATACTTTGGGTAGATTTTTAACTCAAAATTTGTGCCCAGGCAGCGCCGTTAGGCTACTCTTCTCGATTTCCAACTGCCAAAGGATTTTTTCTTGCGCAACAATGTGCACGGGCATCCAATCTCACTACGCAGAGACCGGGGGAATTACTAGAAGCCCAAGTTCATGTGAACAAATCCCAGCCCTTACTGGGGATTGAACCCAAAACTTCTAGCACTCGAGGTGGACACCATGCCTTGAGACCACGCAGCGCCTAGAAAACCGGTGTTCTTTTGATGCAGCCACAGAGAGCACATTGACATCTTCATAAATTTATTATAATATCACAATGACCCCAATAAAACACACACACACACAAAATCAGATTTTTCACCCCAAATAATATCTATTACACCCACCATGATTATACACTATAAAAACTGCAGCAGTATCAAGTCTTTCATACAGACATTCTGGGTACTGTCTAAAGACATGTCAGTCAAAACCAGTAAAAGCCAAAAAAAATGGCTTTCTCTGGGTGAGAGGAATAATGTCAACAGAAATACACAGAAATTACAAGTTTACAGTATATAATTCCAGTACAAAAAGTTTTATTGAAAAACAAAATACCTTGGTATATATGTTCTACTTCATACATGTCCTGTCTAGGTACACAAAAGTTTACTTGGAATACGACCTGCGATCTAGAACTTGTAGGAGTCAAAGTTAGTCATGACATCCTTGTTGATCTCTTTCAGACAAAGCCGTACAAGAGACAAAACTGCTGATATAGACAACGTATATCAGGCGAACGAAAGAAGAAGAAGAAGACAAAGCCGTAGAAAGATGTCATTGAATTTGCAAAGGAGTATAATCCCAACAAAGCCCAAACAAACTGTAATAGCATAGTCTGAAGTTACCAGACATTGTCACATTTCTGAAATATCCTGAGGACAAGGCAAAAGCAAAGTTCTTTGGACAGATTTTCTAGTAAAGTCAAACCTGATTGGACTGGTCAAATAAGGAAAAGAGACTGAAAAAAAAAGGGAAGAAAAAACAGCAGACTTTCAGTTTACTGAAGTTTTATTAGAAAGGAACTCTCCTTCCAAATAATAACATCTGCGCATTCCCCCCCCCCCCCCCCCCCTTTCTTAGTGCCATCCTAGTAACCACTTGACTCTGCGAGGTACCAGGAAAGATGGGCTGACTAGCACAAAGATGGGCACAGGATATAAGTAACACCTAAAGCAGGAAAGTGCATGTGGCACAGAGATGGCAGTCCAACTTTTTTTTTTCAGGGAGATCATGGTGAGAGTAACGTTCTGCAAAGGACCTGTTGCATGATGTTGGAGATATATTGGGCACACTCTGACACAAAATGAGCAAAGAATTACAAAAGAAGCATTTAAATGGGAAACAAACGGTCTGAGAAACAGAGGACATCCAAGGGAAACATTAAGAAGAACATTATTACGAGAGGCTAAAAAGCTGGGCTAAATTCCATTTCAGAAATTGAGAGAGGTGCATGTAGTAGAACGATGTGGAGGAATCTGATGCCAGTCCTATGTGACATCTAACGGCACACAAAGGATGATGACGACAATGATGATGATGATGTGTGATTAAATGAATGGTAACTCAGTACCTAGATGCTAAATTGTCTTGGGTTTAAACCACTGTTGGGAGAGATTTGTATAATTGATCTAGGCTGCCAGGCTAACCCATTCAGAAATGGGTACTAGAAATGTTTTGAGAACAAAGATGGTAAAAGGGGTGTCAACCACATCACTCATCAAGTATACCAGTTGGTCTGTTCAATGCACCTAAGGCACGAAGCTAGATACATGAAAATGCTTGTTTTCTTTGAATCTTCATGTCAAAAAAACCCAAGTAAATATTTTGCTCTGATTCTTGATTATTTATCACATAAATTAACTTTTAATACTTTCTTCCCGTAACTCTCCGATGTAGCTTGTGAGAACCACAGCAGACATGTTTCGGCTGGTTCCTTTACTGGTTGTTATTATTGTGCCATTTGCAGAATTTTTACTGCCTTTTGCGCTGATCTTGTTCCCCAATATACTGCCCAGCACTTTCCAGGATCCTAATGATGAGGTAGGCTGTTGTGGTTGGTAGTGTGGAGTGTGTGTGAAACAATATTGCTTGTGATCCTGTGGAGCTGTAGTGTAAAGGCTAATTTTGTCAGGGTGAAATTTGTACCTTTCACTTGAAGGGAAAAAAAACCCACAAAAAAACAACCAGACAACAGTAGCAATAGAAGATATTGGACATTAAAATAGACTGGACCATAAAATGTAAAGAATATACGTTTTTAAAATCCCTCTGTGGTTTCCAGGCCCCATTGTAGGGGAAAACAAGAAGACCCACTGCCTCTCTATCAAGCATGTTGTAGGAGTCAAATAAATGGGAGTTTTCTTCAGAGTGCATCTGTCTAAGAGGTAAGAACCAACAGTCTGCACACAATTAAGTAGATCTGTAAAATATATGTGCACACAACACGCAAGTTCTGGAGCAAGACTGAAGTCCAAAAATGGACGAGCAACCAGAATTTTCCGCCAAAGTTTACAGCTGTTGAACACACAAATAGGAAGAAGAAGTTCCTAAAATTAGGTGAATTCCCAGCTGTAGTAGCCACCTGGTGAGAATGAATCCAACGTTGCCAACAGCAAGAGCACACAGTAGGAACTTGTAACACTAAGAGGCAGAGGGAGATCTAGAAGAAGATGCATTGAAAGAGTTAACAGCATACCAAGCAACTGAGCGCATCCCGGCTGTGCTACCTGTCATTTGTATGATGCCAAGCGGCACAAAACAGATATTGACAAAAGAACGAAAGAATATTAAATTGTTTTGTATACAAGGAATACCCTGTACCTCACCTGCAGGCTCTGTGCTTGTTTTACTGCTCAAGTTCAAGTTGTTCACTCATTTACTGTTTTCACAATTAGGGATTGGGGATGTCTGACTTAGTTCTGTCCCTGTAGGGAGGCAGCTTACTCATTCCAAGAGTGAGTGCAAGCAAAAATGTCCAAGAGTGAGTGCAAGTCAACATGTCCAAGAGTGAGTGCAAGCGAACATGTCCAAGAGTGACTGCAATCGTACATGTCCTAGAGTGAGTGCAAGCAATCCAAGAGTGAGTGCAAGCGAACATGTCCAAGAGTGAGTGCAAGTGAACATGTCCAAGAGCGAGTGCAAGTGAACGTATCCAAGAGCGAGTGCAAGCGAACATGTCCAAGAGCGAGTGCAAGATAACATGTCCAAGAGTGAGTGCAAGCGAACATGTCCAAGAGCGAGTGCAAGCGAACGTGTCAAAGAGTGAGTGCAAGCGAACATGTCCAAGAGTGAGTGCAAACGAACGTGTCCAAGAGCGAGTGCAAGCGAACATGTCAAAGAGTGAGTGCAAGCGAACATGTCCAAGAGCGAGTGCAAGCGAACATGTCCAAGAGTGAGTGCAAGCGAACATGTCCAAGAGTGAGTGCAAGCGAACATGTCCAAGAGTGAGTGCAAGCGAACATGTCCAAGAGCGAGTGCAAGCGAACATGTCCAAGAGTGAGTGCAAGCAAACATGTCCAAGAGTGAGTGCAAGCGAACGTGTCCAAGAGTGAGTGCAAGCGAACATGTCCAAGAGTGAGTGCAAGCGAACATGTCCAAGAGCGAGTGCAAGCGAACGTGTCCAAGAGCAAGTGCAAGCGAACATGTCCAAGAGTGAGTGCAAGCGAACATGTCCAAGAGTGAGTGCAAGCGAACGTGTCCAAGAGTGAGTGCAAGCGAACGTGTCCAAGAGTGAGTGCAAGCGAACATGTCCAAGAGTGAGTGCAAGCGAACATGTCCAAGAGTGAGTGCAAGTGAACATGTCCAAGAGTGAGTACAAGTGAACATGTCCAAGAGTGAGTGCAAGTGAACATGTCCAAGAGTGAGTGCAAGCGAACATGTCCAAGAGTGAGTGCAAGCGAACATGTCCAAGAGTGAGTGCAAGCGAACATGTCCAAGAGTGAGTGCAAGCAAACATGTCCAAGAGTGAGTGCAAGCGAACATGTCCTAGAGTGAGTGCAAGTGAACATGTCCAAGAGTGAGTACAAGTGAACATGTCCAAGAGTGAGTGCAAGTGAACATGTCCAAGAGTGAGTGCAAGCGAACATGTCCAAGAGTGAGTGCAAGCGAACATGTCCAAGAGTGAGTGCAAGCGAACATGTCCAAGAGTGAGTGCAAGCGAACATGTCCAAGAGTGAGTGCAAGTGAACATGTCCTAGAGTGAGTGCAAGCAAACATGTCCAAGAGTGAGTGCAAACGAACGTGTCCAAGAGCGAGTGCAAGCGAACATGTCAAAGAGTGAGTGCAAGCGAACATGTCCAAGAGTGAGTGCAAGTGAACATGTCCAAGAGTGAGTGCAAGCGAACATGTCCTAGAGTGAGTGCAAGCGAGCATGGCCAAGAGTGAGTGCAAGCGAACATGTCCAAGAGTAAGTGCAAGCTAACATGTCCTAGAGTGAGTGCAAGCGAACATGTCCAAGAGTGAGTGCAAGCGAGCATGGCCAAGAGTGAGTGCAAGCGAACATGTCCAAGAGTGAGTGCAAGCGAACATGTCCAAGAGTGAGTGCAAGCGAACATGTCCAAGAGTGAGTGCAAGACTTGGATGCTGATTGCCTATCATTATAGCGAGGAAATTCTTTCAATCTAATAAAATCTTATAACATGCATAGATTGAAGTCCTCAGCATAATTCATCTGATCGGAAGTCATGGTCCTTCCTTCATTTGTCAGGCTAATGTCTGTTGCTCAGGGTTGTCCACGTGGAGGTGAAGAGAGACCTTTGTCAGTATGAAGCTTAACCATGCACGCTAGCATCTCTACCTAATTTCCCCTAGGATTATTATAATCATTTAGTAGGTCCTTTACAACACATAGCTTTCATTGTGCTCTGCAAGGAAAACACCTAGTCTCTTGATAACTCTCCTGTCTGATATATTAATGCGTCTGTAATGTTCTTTCCACCTATGAGCTTTATCATCACTACCTTCTTTTCCAGAAACCATCATTCCATTAATGTTCCTATTAAATGATTGCATCACTTAACATGACTGAGGTGTAGAGGTTCTGGAAGATATTTAACAGTGAAGGGAAAACAGAGGCAGACTTTTAATCAGATTGCAACTGGTAGTATTAGCATGTCAACTCTTCATTGTTTACTGAAGAATGGGATGGAGCACGTATGAGAATGTGCCGAATGTAGTGATGTCAGTTCTTGATTCATTCATTTATTCATTTGTTCATTCATTCACTCAGTTTTAAAAATAGAAGACTGAAAAGTGTGAAAGACAAAAGTGTTAAATCTGTAAATGAAAACAGTGGTCAGTATGAATCTCAATGTTATTCTATACAAGATAGAAGACAGTGTTATTATTTTTCAGTGATGACAGAGATTTTATATCTGCCAATGAAAATGCTGATATTATATCTACCAATTAAAACACTGCCAGTGGCTGCAGTAATGTAGAGCAGCTAGGCACTTGCCTACACACCCAAATGTGGCACACTTTTCACATCTCCCAAACTCATTCATATGAGCCTACACAGACCAAGTTATATAAGACAATGTGTGTATGTCTGTTGTGTTTATTAACACGGCCAGTGATCCAACAAATCAACTGAAAATAAGTTTGTTTATTAAGCAATAAAATGCCAATTCAAGCAGGACGAATATGTTTCCTTTAAACAAAAGTATGAACATTTCAGTATATTGTTGCTGGCATTTTATATATGAGGATAAGTTCATTTACAAAAATGATTATTCATATATTTCAATATAAGTTGCTATGACTTTCATGATATACTTTAACAAGTTATTCACTATTATCAACCGTTAATAAAGTCTCTTCTAAACGTACTGTCAAAATATCTTTCTTTCTAACCAAGTTTCTTCTAGCCATATAGTCAACTGTCTCTATACAAGCTCCAGTCCTTGTCGACTGCCACTCGGCTACACCGCCTCAGACATGACTCTTTTAGAGCTGACTCTCCTCCTCTTTTTCATCCTTTTCAAGCCCCCTTTTATCCTTCTCAATGTCTTTGTTTTCTTTTTCCCCATTTGTCATTCCTGTCACCTGTCATGTTTTGATTCTCTGCTGATTATGGTTATATCTGTCCGTTCAAAAGCTTGTATATCTCTCACGTTCGTTGTTTGTCTCACTTAATGTACTGAAAGATTTATGCACCCCCCACCCCCTAATTACAACACCTGTTCTTAGAACTCTGGTTGTCATGCTTAAAGCAATCTATCTTTCTATAATTGACTCCTAGGTCTCTCAGTGCAGTCAGACATCTTCTATCTCACTCTTCTGTGTCAGCAATTTCCCATAAATTTCTTCAGAACCAAATGTACCTGTACCTATTCACACTTTGTCCGTAGCACCTATTTATACTTAATCCCAAAGGTTCCTGGCCTGTTATAGTACACAAAGGTCATCGGTTCAAATTCAGAGTCAGAATTTGAAAAAAGAAATGCTCTTGGCTCCAAGGTTGACCCAGCCTTAAATGGGTGCCAGGTGAAGAGGGCTCCTTATGTTAAACTTAATGCTTTGTATCTACCAATGAAAGCAGTAATGTTATATGTGCCCATGAAAACAATGATATGTAAATGTTACTGTTTGCAGAAGAAAAAGCGAAAGAAAACACTGAAAGCGAAGCTTGAAATGGCCAAATTTTTGCAAAAGACAGTGCAGGAATCAGCTGTTGAAGCCGATAAACATGAAGGACAAACAGTAGAATCATTTGCTCAGTTTATGGACAAGGTAACTTGTGTTGCCTCCTATCTTTAAACCAAAAATCTATATTTTTGCTACTATTGTAGAAATTCAGGGAGCCACTGTTGTGTATCAGCTAGAAGCTAGCTCCGGGCTGAAGATTGTGGGTTCATTCAACTCCTCCTCATATTTGTCTTCTTTCTGTGTTTCTCTTCTTCAAATATTTGTAGATTTTCTTCTATCTCTTTTACCCTAATGTTTCCAGTAAAAGGACATGCTATTTATACTATTACCACGATATCTTTCTGATAGTAAATCCTGCAGTGTATAGTGGCTGACGACACCAGTTCTGTGCTAGTTTCTGATTTTTCATTGGCTTTCTGCTAAGTGCTCTTGTCTGGCCACACCTCTTTTAACATGTTCTTGCAGTTTGGTCATGGTTCAGATTCACAGTCATCAAAATTCTTACAAACACATGAAAAACAACCCCATGCACAGAATAGCAAACAACTTAACTAAAAACCTACTGAAAAGACAAAGCTTTCACCATCTATCAAAATTGTACTACATAAAAAAACCCCAGTGAAATCCTTTCTAAAGATCCTTCACTATGGAAAATGATCCAGGCATACAGCATAGACCTACTAGCCTACCAACAATCCCAGGCATAGACAGAAAGGCTTAAGAATGTGACCTAGTACTGCATCAAAACATCATTGAACATGTCTACAACTCTTACCCAAAGCCTGAATGGACACACGAATACACTGATGGATCATTGGAGGGAGCAGACAAAAGCAGAGGAGCTGGATCGGTCATCAAACTGCAAGATGAGACCACAGTAGAAAACGTCATGCACCTCAGGAAGACTCTAAGCCAGTTTCAGAGCAGAGCAGTAAGCAATTATTGATGCAACCAAAGTGCTTGAGGAAAGAAACATTAAAAACAGAAAATTGTTTTCCTGTGGGAATGCATGTCGGTCCTCCAGGCGACTCAGAGGGATCCACGAGACAAGATGGAGAGAGAACTGACCTGCCAGTTAAACAGACTCTCAGAAAACAATCAAATTGTTCTCCAGTGGATCCTAGCTCACTGCGGCATACCAGGAAATAAGGAATACATTTTACTACTTGCTTCCTTTCAGTACAGTAATTTCCCTTTTCATTCCAGTGGCACATTGGGTCTATGAGACTAAACACATATTTGCATAGACCAACCGGCCCTCGCTGGGTGATGTGGTTAACACCACACCAGCTGACTTTACTTCCCAGGACTTCACCTGGTACCCATTTAAGGCTGGGTCGACCTGGGAGCCAAAGTCATGTTTGAAAAAAATCTGCACCATGCCGATTTGAACCCACCAACTACAGATCTACAAGCAAGCATCTAGTTGCTACACAATGGCAGCTTCCCTGCCTCCTTTCTACTAGAAGAATGGCCTCACTGGTACCTGAATTATGAGAGTTTATATTTGAATTGGCAAGGAAGCAGAGTTGGTTAGAGTAAGGAAACATTACTATAGCCTGACTTTTACCTTTTCACTTTCCCTCAGTTTTGTAATCATTGTAAAATATGGGTGAGGTTTCCCATTGTGTAGTGACTTTGATTGTGATAGATAACTTTGTGAAACATTTCCTCATAGATAAGAAAAGTCTGTGACTGTGGTATTGCAAAGCAGACTAGGTCTACTTCTTTTTTAAACCGATAATTTTTCACATCATCATAGATAAGAAAAGTCTGTGACTGTGGTTATTGCAAAGCAGACTGGTTGTTCTTCTTGTTTAAACCGATAATTTTTCACAACATCATAGATAAGAAAAGTCTGTGACTGTGATATTGCAAAGCAGACTAGGTCTACTTCTTGTTTGAAACGATAATTTTTCACAACATCATAGATAAGAAAAGAAGGAACCAAGCCACGAACAAAGGATATCATGAAATTTGCCAAGCTTTTTGAAGATGAGATCACTCTGGACAATCTCACACGGTCACAGTTACGAGCTTGTTGCATTATTCTGAATGTCACTCCTATAGGAAGTGATGCACTGTTGAGATTTCTCCTTCAAATGAAACTTCGTCGACTTCGTGCAGATGACAAGGTCAGTCCATATAGCCTGTTCATATTTATAATTACATACCAAATGAATTGTGTAAATCAATGATACCTGTGGAGATCCGTTGTCATTTTACACACACATGCACAGGCACACATATACACACAGTCAACCATAAAATGCCTTGCTTAATGGCTATCTTGCTTCTTTACATTTTGAAATCTCCTCAGTACATACACACACCATACTTACATACACACACCATACTTACATACACACACCATACTTACATACACACACCATACTTACATACACACACCATACTTACATACACACACCATACTTACATACACACACTATACTTACATACACACACTATACTTACATACACACACCATACTTATATTCACACACCATACTTACATACACCATACTTACATACACACACCATACTTACATACACACACCATACTTACATACATACACCATACTTACATACACACACTATACTTACATACACACACTATACTTACATACACACACTATACTTACATATACACACTATACTTACATACACACCATACTTACATACACACACCATACTTACATACACACACCATACAAACATACACACACCATACTTACATACACACACTATACTTACATACACACACTATACTTACATACACACACTATACTTACATATACACACTATACTTACATACACACCATACTTACATACACACACCATACTTACATACACACACCATACTTACATACACACACCATACTTACATACACACACCATACTTACATACACACACCATACTTACATACACACACTGTACTTACATACACACACTATACTTACATACACACACTATACTTACATATACACACTATACTTACATACACACCATACTTACATACACACCATACTTACATACACACACCATACTTACATATACACACTATACTTACATACACACCATACTTACATATACACACTATACTTACATACACACCATACTTACATACCCACACCATACTTACATACACACACCATACTTACATACACACGCTACACATAATACACATATATAGAAAGCCCTGTCCTTTACAGTTTAAGATCAGCAAGACAATTGTGAGATAGATCATCAGATAGCTATTGTGAATAGATCATTACAGACTGCTAATGTCTGTGTAATGACAACATCCACTACGAGAATGCAAGTAGAAGCACCACTTTAGCTCTTCAGTGATTTTATGGTCTCCAAAACAGGAGGTACCATTGTGTTGTTGAAGAGTTGACCAGCTGGTGAGTAATGAGTTAATACAATTGGAAGAAGCACAGACAGGGCTGATATAGTGAGTGCTATCTGGAATAGGAAGGTAAATAACTCCTCCCTGACGCTAACTCGATTACCTGGCCAAGTACATCTATGCCATCTTTGAAGTCAAGACAGAAGACATTATAACCAATATCTTATGAGCACAGTTAAGTTGAGTTGATTCAAGAACCGACATCACAGCACTTAGGCATTCCCATAGGCGCTCCATCCCCATCTTCAGCAGTCAGCGCAGAGTTTCAATACCCACGGTACCTGTAGCAGTCTGATTTTTATGTCTGTCTTGTCTTTCCTCTGAGCATCGAGTATTGACCAGATCTCATGAGAACAGAAAGAAGAGATAACAGAATGACCCCTGCACCAGATTCCCTGTCTTGGAATGTCCAGTGTGCAGTAATGTCAGTACTAGATTATGACCTCATGAGGGGGAGTGATCAGTGTCTACCACTGCCAAGAATTGAACTCTTGACCATTGGTAAGCCACTACACCACTCTTGAATGCAGAAACAAACATGACAGTAAATAAACAATGTGAGGGCAAAATGAGAGCTTTTCAATATGGTTATTAAGATGAATGAAAGAAATATGATGGCAAGTGAACGATATGGAATGATTGCAAAAACTTGGATTGTGTGGTTGAGTTCATTGGTATTGGATGTTGACCACATCACCCACCGAGTGCCGATTGGTCTATAAAATATAGGTCTAGCCCTATATGCCCAATATGCCTGAAGGTGTGAAAAATGGTCTTTACCAACAGTCCTGGGAAGTAAAGGCAGCCGGCATGATGCTGACCATATCACCCACCAAGTGCCGTCTGGTCTGTAAAATATTGGTCTATCTCTGTATGCCCAATACGCCTGAAAAGGGGGGGGGGAGGGGAACTCCTTTACCTTTACTTTTTGGCATTTGAAAAATTGATATTTTTTCATGGCAACTGATACCCTAAATGCCAGGATGTCAGTTCTCAACTCAGCCCGACTGTTTTTGTATGCTTCTTTGCTTCTTTGTCACTGGCGTCTAACACTTCCTCTGCATTCCTGAACCAGGTGATACAGAGGGAGGGTGTCGAGAGCTTGAGCATCAGTGAGCTGCAGGCAGCAAACAGAGCTCGGGGCATGAATGCACTGGGTGTGTCCGAGGAGCGCTTGAGAGCACAGCTGAAGCAGTGGCTACGGCTTCACCTGGAGGAGAAGATACCCACATCCTTGCTGCTCTTGTCCAGAGCATTGTACATACCAGATAATCTTTCCACAGAAGAAAAGCTGGGCGCTACCATCACACAGTTACCAGAGACTGCTGTATGTGGTCGCCTTTTTTTTTTTTTACTGTTGGATTGGTTTTATTGTCTTTCTATTTCAGAAGTGTTCACTTTTCTTATACATTTCGTTCATTGGAGATTGGATTTTAAAATATTTTTTTTTCTCAACTGTTTGTTTTATTGTGTCTCTTTCTATTTCAGAAGTGCTCACTTTTCTTATACATTTTGTTCATTGGAGATTGGATTTTAAAATATTTTTTTTCTTAACTGTTTGTTTTATTGTCTCTTTCTGTTTGAGAAGTGTTCACTTTTCTTATACATTTCGTTCACTGGAGATTAGATTTTAAATATTTTTTTTCTTTACTGTTTGTTTTAATGTCTCTTTCTATTTCAGAAGTGTTCACTTTTCTTATACATTTCGTTCATTGGAGATTGGATTTTAAATATTTTTTTTTTATTTGAATAAATTATATCTGATTTTATAGCATGCATGTTAAGTTGAATAGCCATGTGTGTGTTTGTCAAGTCTTTTAGGCTTAAAACTGTAATTCTTTAATCATTCCATTTGTTTTTTTAAACGTAATATGTGAATTGTTTAATACTTTGTAAAACATCCTAGTTAAACTTCATGTTGGAATCTGTTTCATTAAAACATAAGTCACTCTGTTTGTGGCTTTGACCAGATAAGAAAAGTCATCTTTTACACAAACAGTGAGTGTGTTGGGAAGATGCAGTAGCATAGTGGCTAGACGCTTGCTTGCCAGCCCGAGGGTCGTGGGTTCAGATTCATTTCAGGTCAGATTCTCTTAAAAAAGCTGACCTTGGCTCACTAGCTCATCCTAGCCTAAAATGAGTACCAGAGAATATCCAGGGAAGTAAAGGCAGCCGATGGGATGATGACCATATCATCTACTGAATGCCAGTTGATCTAGACAAAAAATGAGTCTGGCGTCATATATTTGATACACCACTGACAGAATGTTAGGTGAGCTATTGTTCTCTATCGTTGACAGGCTGTGGAAGCAAAACTGAAAGCGGCTGAGATGTCTGGAGAAACTGTTGATAACAAGACCAGGCTAGAGATTATCAAACATGAAGAAGCTATCATTGCTGCAGAGAAGGAGGAGTTGGCCAAAGAAATCAAGGTGAGATTAAAAAAAATTTTTTTTTTTTTTTTTTTTTCACTAGCTGCCAGCTACAGCAGTGATTGAGTGATGTTCAAACCTACCAGGACCGCACAACGAGCGAAAAACACCCAGTGATACAAAGTGCAACCATTTAGGTAAGAATCCCCTGAAACAAGTCCCTTAAACCTCATTCCACTGTTGGGTTATGTTAGGGCCCCCAACAACAGCTGGGGTGGGGCTTTAAAATAGCAAAAATATTGTGTCCTATACAGGGGCAGAAGTGGAGACTCAGTCTGCTACAGCAGAAAGTCCTGGACACTAATCTATATCTGGACTTTGGTCGTATTTTCCAGATTTGAGTGTTACAGGCACATCTATTCTTCCCACATCTGGTTTATTATGTGCAGTTGCTTGATTCCTCACCTCTCAGTTAGATGTGCTCCAGCTTCAAAGAAAATGATTCTATTTATATATGAGTAATATGACTTTAAAATTCACCATTGGTGGCAGTTTCACAATATGAGTCACTGCAGACATTTTTTTAGGCTCAAGGGAACGTATTCCATTGAATTCTCTGCTCTGTTCATGTCTGTTGATTATTACTATCTATCATTTTTTTTTTTTTTTTTAATGTAAAAGGAATTTTAAAAAAATATTAGAGACCTTATGTTTTTTTTAAGCTTTTTTATTTGGAAATTTCTTTGTTCATGAGCTTCCTCTGTAAAAAGGTTAAAACATCTTTGGTTAAAATAGCACTTCTTTTGAGAGAGGTATTTTTCTAAAATACTGTTATGTGTGGTTATTTCACTGTGGCTTTAGCGAGCATCATGCTAAATATCTGGGACAGTTTTCATGTTTGTTTTAGTTTTGAATCAATGATTTTAGCAGTGAGTTCATGTAAAGATATAATGTTGCAGCTTCTGGAGGAACAGACTGTGAAAGATGTGACAGACTTCAGGGCTGCAGACAATGCCAGGGAAGCACAGCTGAAGATGGTTGACAAGGCAAAACCCTTGGAAACTCCACCCAGTGAAAGTAACTTCTTTTATGTGTACTGTGTAGTTAATCAAGTCTCATTTCTCTGTGGGGGTTGCAGGGCCGTTTTTGGAGTGAAAAAAGAAAGGGCTCACTGCCCCCTAACAAACATCATAAAAGATTCCCTCCTTTCACACCATGAACGGGATCTTCTTCTTCTTCTTCAGCATTCTGAGCCCTTGAAGTTCATTGCTGCAGATATCACCGGCCTCCATTCATCTCTCTGGTTGGCCTTCTCTTTCCAGTTGGTGACACCAAGTGTTTGCAGATGTGTCTGGATATTATCTCTCCATTGTCTTCTTGGTCTACCTTGCGGTCTACGACAATTCATCTTCCTCGTGTATGAACGGGATCTCTTTTCAAAATTTGCACACGTCCTTAAGTGAAGGGGGGATGAAAGAGAATCAAATCTTATGTTTGTGTTTCCAGGCTGGATGTGTTAATTGATATTTCGTTTTAATGTGTGAACATTTTGTTTATTTATGTTTGTTGTTCAACTGGCAAGTTAACAATTTTGTCTGTTCCCAGTTTTGGTTGACCGTGCTAAAGTCCTACAGCCGTCAGATGGTGAGAGTATAAAACAGGAGGAGTCTGCTAAGATTACAGCCAAGGATTTGGATGATATGGAGACTGTGCTTGAAGAAATTGCCAAAGAGAGAGGGCTCAACATTGAAAAAGATGCCTTGAAAGGTCTTAAACATGAAGTTTCCGAGTATAAAGAGGTTGGTCTTTGTACCTGATTTTTAGTACACATGTTTTATTGTATATCTATTTGCTTACAGCAGTCTGACATTTGAATTAATTACTTTGAACTAAGATCTATTCTAATCATACCCCCAAATATTTCTACACTTATTTGCTTCAGATAATGTTTACAAAAGCCTCCACTTTATGGCCCTGACAAGGATATAAATGCTGATTAAGTTGCATCAGTCTCCGTCAGGACAAACAGCTTTATAGACACCAGTCTTTAAACATATCAAACTGTATAAAGTCTAGAATTTATATCCTAATCTTTTAACTTAATTCAAAAGACAAAGAAACATGGTGGTTTTTAGGCTTACCTTTAAGCCTCTGCATGTTATTTGTTTTTAGGGTCTCCATGGTGAAGTGGCCACATTATTTAACTCTAGCTCTGAAGGTCGTGGGTTCATTTCACGGCTGCGTCATTCAAATCACAGTTGCAATTTTTACATAGATCTCTTGAGATCATGGCTGGAGTAACAGAGTTTGTGCTTTGTATGCTGCTCTTGGCAGGCCGCTAGCTGTTCTGCAGAGATAGACTGAGCCATATAGGATCAAACCTGGTGCAGTGAAGTCCATCCTTTCACCTTTAACCTTCTGTTATTTGTTTCTGCTTTGTTAGCTGGTGCCTTTTCCGCTGTACGTAGCTGAGTTGAGTGCACAGTGCGATGCTCTGAGCTGGAATTCCATTTGGAATGTTTTACAACTGTGGCCAAAGGGGCTTGTATTGTAGACCGCAGATTCAGAAAATGGTGAATGGCCTGTTGCTACAGAACTGGTGGTGCCTCATGCAGTATTGTATGTACAGCCGCTGATTTCTTGTAACTTCTACTTCCATCGACAATAAACTGCAGTTCTTATGGCAGACTGCTTGTTTTGGCACTTCTGACAGATGCCTTATGCATTAGCATATATGTGTATGCTATTGGTTTTGCTGAGACTGCAATCTGTTTCCATTTTTTTTTTGCACAGGAACAGAGCTATTTTTTAATGGGATCAAGATCCACACATTTGGCCAACTCGCTGGCAAGCTAGTACCTCAGATTCAGATACCTTGTTTAACTCTTCAGACTCAAAACCTAAAAACTTGTATGTACAAGCAGTAAGGACTGACTTTTATGTATAGTTTTATTGTTCTACCATATATAAATATAATTTTGTTTTATCTGTGATACAATTTTTCTTTCAAGGATTTGGAAGACCTAAAAGTTGTGGCTAACGGAGACAAGAAAAAGCATTTCCAGGAATCGCCAGCCGCTCGTCATTTAGCAAAGAAGGTTGATAGCATGATTGCACGGCTGGACACAGTAATGGCGGATCTCGAGGAGGATAAGACTAGTGTTCAACAACAAATGTCAAAGGAGAAGCAGATCTTGGACAAAGAACATATAGGCGCTGTTCAACGCTCGCAGGAGAAGATTGATAAATACAAGTAGGTTTGAATTTTATTGTCCTGTGGTCGGTTCCGGCGCCCCATCTAACAAGCATGTATTAAATTGCAACTAGTTAGGGGTTTGCTAAAATTGGATGTGTTGGCCCAAAATCTATAGGTATTGTAGCCTTGCTGTAAGCAACAACACAGCATGCCATTGTAAGTGCCAACTCAGAAGAAGAAGAATGTGAATTTTGTTAACACCTGTATTTTTTTAAATTTCAGATTCATATTTAGCATGTGGCTTGCGAGTGTAAGCAGGCCAACATAAAAAACAGCATTTCTTGCACACACACACACACAAATAATGTTAATACTTGCCACACACAAAATAATGTTAATACTTGCCACACAAAAAAATAATGTTAATACTTGCCACACAAAAAAATAATGTTAATACTTGCCACACAAAAAAATAATGTTAATACTTGCCACACACACAAAAAATAATGTTAATACTTGCCACACAAAAAAATAATGTTAATACTTGCCACACAAAAAAATTATGTTAATACTTGCCACACAAACAAAATTATGTTAATACTTGCCACACAAACAAAATTATGTTAATACTGGCCACACACAAAAATAATGTTAATACTTGCCACACACACACCAAAAAAAATGTAATACTTGCCACACACACAAAAATAATGTTAATACTTGTCACACACACTAAAATCAATGTTAATACTTGCCACACACACACACACACACACACATTTTAATACTTGTCACACAAACAAAATTATGTTAATACTTGCCACACAAAAAATAATGGTAGTACGAGTTCGTCAGGCAGCATGTCCTTGTCAGAACGTTGCTCTCATCAAGGCATCCTGGGAAGCTAGGGGGTCTCTGGGGCGAGGTGGTCTAGCCGGTCGCCTTGCGCTCTGAAGGTCATGGGTTCGTTTCATGGTTCCACCGTTCAGTCCACGAGTGCAATTATTACGTAGATCCCTGGGGATAATTGATGGAGCTACAGAGTTCATGCCTTGTGCTATGCTCTGGGCTGGCGGCTAGCCATTTTGTGGACAGAGACCAAGCCATATGGGATCAATCCTGGTGCAGTGAAGTTGATCCTCTTGACCTTATACCTTTAACAGTGGAAAGCCACTCACTTCCCTTGCAGTTTTCCTGCCCTGTGAGCTTTCATGCCTCAGAATGTCCTCGATATCCAGTGTCCACTGTCATACTGGTCAGCCCCTGCCTTTTCTTCTAGAAACCATATGCCTTTACTGGTCTTTCTAAACCATTATGACATTTAATGGCAATTAAAGTATTTCAGTTTACATGAAATCATGCTGACATAAACTTATTAGGGGAGTTATACGTGGAGCAAATTTGTAGTTTTAAGATTAAAGGGAAGTTGTTTCCATAGATGAGCAACAGAGTATACTAAACTGGTTGTATGTAAATCGGCTCTAGCTTTAGGCAAATTTTACAAACTTAGTCACTGACTGTTCATAAGACTGGATTGAGTCAATTGTAAAATGTAATTCTGAGTATTTTTAGATAGGATTTTATGAGCAGATTTGGCTTTGTAAAAATTAATTGTTTTCTCAACAGAAGTCTTAGATGGCTAAAGCAGTTTTAGCTCAGATAATGTTCTTTTCAGGATAGATGATAAGAAAACTTAGCTGAGATTTATTTTCCTGATAGTTATTCATGAACTTTCTCAGTCTCAAACAGTTGTTAATTTAACTCATTTATCTGAAACAGTCTCTATTGAAAGTAATAAATACTATGTCTAAACAATTTTAACTTATAACTCTGCTGCACAGAAAGAGTTTAAGCAACAGCTGAGACAGTGCATCAATGTAAGAAATACATGCCACTCAGGGAGTGAAGAATTACCAAATTTACCTGTGTATGGGCCACAGTATTTCGACTGAAAATCTTTGATGAAAAATCGATTAGGGCTTATATTTGTGATAGGCCTATGTGTCATTTGTACAAAATTTATTAATGAACAGTACAACATTTTGAAACGTACCCTGCAAAATCAGTGATAACACTAGCCTTACTCGTCACTTGATGCTTCCTTATTGCTCCTACTATGGTCCTCACTCTCAGATGACATTAACCATGTTGTATCTTCTTCAGTGTCGTCCATCAAGTTTGAATTGGAGGTGACTTTAAAACTCTTGTTGACCCTTTCGTCTGCCTGCACTATTTGCAACTTAAATTTACAACTGTAACTTGCTCTTATATGGCCCATATTTTACTGCTTACTCAGTCAGTAGCATGTCCTTGGCAGATCCTTGCTCCCATAACAACCCTATGGAAAACTTCTCGATCGCAGGCAAGATGTCCTGCGTCCAATACACCCATCTAGCGATTATCCGCCACATCCTGCACCCATCTTGTCTTTGGCCTTCCTCTTCCTCTCTTCCCAGGCATATACCCCTCTATTATTTGTTCTCTCTAAACTTTTATGATGTTTCAAGTGATCAAAATATTTCTATTTACAGGTACTACTGTTTCGTTTTGGTCTCTGATCCAAATTCTAAGAAAATTATTTCCCCCTAAAATTATCATCTCAGAAACTGGGTGTGGCGTATAGACGCATAAATACAATAACATGTAACATATGGTGATACCAGTAAACACATAGTGAGTTGCCTGGTATTGAAAAAGTTAACTGACATTTTCAGATCAAACATCATCTCTGTCAATGAACTGATAGTGGCTCTGAAGCGTCTGAAAAAAGTTCCCAGCGAATCAAAGCTACAGCAGATTTTCCAAGCTCTCGACCACGACAAGGATGGAAACATTCATATTAATGATGCTTTACAGGTTTGTCTTTTTTTCCATTCAAAAATTCAATGGAAAGGATTACAGAAGAGGAGCCATCTTCTTCTGTGTCTGTCCCTGTCGATCAGCTGTTCTCAACCTGCCACAAAGGATCCTTTTTTTTTTTTGCTTCGAACGACCATTTTACAGGGGTCACCTAAGACTATCGGAAAACACATATTTGTTGAAGTTATGAAGGAAAATAATTGTTTGTGGGTTGCCACAACAGGAGGGAACTTTATTAAAGTGTCACGGCATTAGGAAGGTTGAGAGCCACTGCTGTAGATCTATGGTTTAGTATTACAAAAGTGGTTTATAACTGAAATAACCTGGTTCAATTGTAGCTGGGAGTAATTTGGCAGCAGACCACATTGCCTTAATTTTGACAATGATATAAAGTGCCAGCTGTTCAGAGGCAATAGTAAAATTATCAACAATCAGCAGGTCCTTTGCAGAGCAGTTGTGTCTTCACTGCAGACCAACAGTCTCTCTTTCTCTAGCTAATTCTCCAGCCCTATGTGCTTGCATAGCCAATTCATCTTGTTTTATATCCACATGGAGGTCTGCCTCATTATTTTGGAAACTGCGCCCTTCAACACCGGTCTGTCCTGACTACTACGGCGCTCAACTCTTTCAGTCTCAGGGTTTATCATCAGAGGCCCAAGAAGTAGTAAAGAGAGACGTAAAATCATCACTTGACACTTATCCTCCGCCTCAGAACAGGGCACAACCGATTACGTAACAACATGTACACAAAATTCAAGATAGGCGTATCAGCTAGGTACCCCTGTGGAAAGGTGCCCCAGACAGCAGAGCATGTACTCCAGGACTGCACCGAATTTGACACATTAAGGCAAATCTTTTGGCCAGAAACAACAACAGTGGAACGTAAACTCCATGGACCACTGAATGAATTAACAACAACAGTAAAATTTATACAAGAGACAAAATTGCTGATAAAGACAACTTATTTCAGGCAAACGAAAGAAGAAGAAGAAGAATCACTTGATGTGTTTCTTGGGACCGAAAGAGTTAATGTGACGAAAATATCCTAGCTTTCGGGACAGGATGTTGTGTATGAGGCAATTCTCCTTGATATTCCGGTCAAGCAGGATGTTGATGTTTTCTTCTTCTTGATTGACAGTATTCTAAGAATTTGTGTGTAGCATTTCAGTTCAAAAGCTCTGATTTTTCTCTTTAGTGGCAAACTACTGAAAATGAAATGCTCAGTAAAACCTGCAAATTTATTCTAGGTTGGTTTGATGCATCCTGTAAAGATGCAAGAATTATTTTTAATTTTTTATTTGCAATAAGAATTTGGCATCTAGTGAGTTACTTGTTTGTCTTCTCTTGATAGGTTCTGGAGCATTTAAGTCAAGAACATCTCAAACTGAGCCCTGCCCAGATGGAAGAAGTACTCACTGTTCTAAAACATGAAGCTCAACTGGAGGATGAGGAGCGTCAGAAAGAAAAAGAACAGAAGGAGGGTATATTGTCAGAAAGAAAGCAGTAGTAGATCTTCACCTCTCTGCCTGTCTGCAGTTAAGGCAACATCTGATTTTTTTGCAAAGCCCACAAAGGCTGTTCTGTGTACTGTTTCCAGCAAAGTATCTCACACATTTGATGTTATAAGAGACTTAGCTTGGTTCCAGATGAAAGGCACAAGTTTCAGGTAAATATTCATGTTTTTTTTTGTTAACCAAGATTGCATTAAATCTCAAGCAGTTGCAGAATTCTTATTTCTGGCCAGTATCACAGTTTAACCCAAGAAAGAGGCTTAGAATGTCCAGAGGGTGTCCATACACAGGGGGCTGACTTCGTCCACAACACATTCCTAGTTTTCACTAATTTGCCCTTGGCCATCCCTCTTAGCATGCCGATCAGCCTTACAGTTTTGGGATTAATGCCCTGCATTGTAGTTGTAATGTGTACATAATGGTATGAATTCTTGTATGTATGTACACCTATATATATGTGTCCATGAATGTATGTGGATGTGCAATACACCGCAATAAGAATAATTTATTTTGTCATTCCCAGGAAAAATGCTTATACAAATTTTTGAAATTATTGACTTTTATCCCAAGAATAAATTGCATACTATTTTTGAAAATGGAACTCTGCACTGGCTGCTGAAGATAGGGACAGAGCTTATTGCCTGAATGCTGTGATATCTGTCCTTAACTTGACTCAATCCAAGACAGACATCAAATTTTTTTTTATTTGACTATAAGAATTTTATTTCATCAGCTTACTTTCTCAGTTTTAAAACTTATTTGGCACGTCTTGCTTTTGTTTTCTTATGAAGGCACACTTGCATTTAAAATATTGTATATTGTGCCAGGGGAGCCGCGGTAGTGCAGTGGCTAGATGTTCACCTGCCTTTCCAAAGGTCAAGGGCTGGGTTTTTTCCTCTTCAAAATTGTCTCTGGCTCGCAGGTCGACCCAGCCTAAAATGAATACAGGGAAATGTGCTGGGAAGTAAAAATTAGCGGTGTGATGTTGACTCTGTCACCCACTGGGTTCTATTTGGTCTACAAACATATGAGTCTAGCATCATATGGCATCATGTACGCTACTGGCATATTGTGTTATTTCTTTTTTTTTTTTTTTCAAAGCATTTATGCTGTTTCTACAATGGAGGTTAGCTGCATTGGATATGTGAGTTCACCTGTTTTTGTTTTTTTTGTACTAGTACTGGGTGAGGGTGCGGCGTCCGTGGCTAAGGCGTTGCGAGTCCGACTCGTAAGCCAGCATACCGCGATCGAAACCCACTGCAGGCTGCGTGGATTTTTGTCGTGGTATGGGACGTCGCAGGTCGACCCAGCCTAAAATGGGTACCAGGATGGGCTGTCCTGGGAAAGTAAAGACAGCCGGCGTAATGCTGACCACATTACCCACAGAGTGCTGATGGTCTGTAAAAATATGGGACGCTCTGCCCATATGCCCGATGCGCCGAAAGGCGTGAAAAAGGAACTTACTGGGTCAGGGGCTGCTATCTCTTTCACAAGGCCATGGTCTGAAAACCACATAAAGGGGGAAAATTGTGTTATATTATTTATTCTGAATATGAACATTGGTGCTTTAGTTTTATCATCTCCCCATCTGGGTTCCTGAGCAACACTGGGGGCCTGAGGAGGGGAGGGGTAGACTCCCTGCTTATTAACCCTTTCACCGCTGAAAGATTTAAAAAAAAAAAATTGGGGTCATAAACCAATAGGAATTTCCAGAACACATCCTTTAAAAAAAAAATTGTTAGAAAACATTATAGAAGTCAGAGTTTTTATTTGTTTTAATCATTTATTTATTAACATTTTTAACTTTCTTTAAAAAAAAAAAAAGAGAGAGACAGTAAAGGGTAATCAGCAGGCACGAACAGAGTCAAGCATTAAAATAAATTCATTCCACAGGATGTCAATTTTTTTTTTTTTAAAAGAAGAAAAAAATTGGTAATGGGTGACTTATGCTGGGACTTTTAATACACTTTTTGAGAACAGGTCCCTGCAGACATGTGCATATATCAGCATTTCAGAAACGTGGAACAACCAGGAGTGACTAGATGTATGCTTCTTGTGGCGAAAGGATTAACAAGCGTATTGTAAAAGGCTCATAATTAAGGCTTTGTTGAAATCAGATGTGTTGAGCAAAAAAAAAGGCAGATATCACAGCCTAGCTGTAAACCATAAAACAATGTGCTGACTGCCCTTTGAGGGAGGACAGAAGGATAGAAGGTTTCGAATTTTGTAAATTTTGTTTTGTTTATTACTTCCTACATATTTTCAACAGATGATAGATATTGCATGTTTTATTTAACATTATTTTTACACTATTAAAAGCAGTACCATATACATTAGTAATTTGTAAGATTGTATTTACTTGTTAATGAAAATTTTGAAATTGTTGTGACAATAGTTATAGTGTTGTTTTTTTTATTTTTTTTTATTTGTAAATTGTTTAGCTTTTTTGCCATTGACAGTTCTTCTCTATTCATTGAATACTTGTATTGTTTAGTTAGTTTTTTTTCCTGTTTATGATAATTTTAATATTTGTAAATGGATAATTTTTGTTGATTTTTCAGTTAGGTCTCAAATCCCAAAAATTATTATTGCAAGCAGTTTTTTATATGCTCCCAGAACATGGATTATTATGGGCTGTGTGGTGAGCATGCTTGCCAGGGGTCATTTGTTTGAATCTTCCTTCAAGCCTCTTGCCTTGGAACATTGAAAAACAAAACATGAATCATGACCCTTGGAATTCCAGAAAAAATCCTGTTAGGAAACCAACAATTTTACTTGTTACTTGTTGTCTGTGTCTTCTTCTTCTTTGTTCAGTAGCTGTAAGCTAGGACGGAACATCCTGGTTGTTCATCCATTTGGACTTTGGCTTTGTGTCAGGGCCTGAGTTTTGTGTGTACATCCATTTTACTGGCTTATTTGTGTATAGTTGGTTCTTCCTTACCGCTCAGGCAGATGCATTCCAACTTCAAAGGAAGCCCCAATTAGTGGACTCCTACAAACATGCTTGTTGGGGAGACAGTGGGTCTATTCTTGTTTTCCCCACAATAGGGCCCAGGAACCAATACGTTGAGTTGTCCATATTAACACTGTAGTATATCGGTCGACCCATTCAGGCTCCATCCTCCAATGCAGCAGCCATCTCAGTGTCTCCCAGCTAAACATGCTGCTCAGTCGGAGTTTACTGGCACATCTTCTTTCTTCGCCCTCAGCTTGTTTTTGCATGCATGTCCTCATTTAGTAACCTTCTCCAACAGGCGGTTCATTGTCTCTGACTCCATCTCAGTCTCTAGAAGGCAGTACATTTGGTATATCTGCCTTGTCCATACTTTTTCGCCCACAAACCACTGCAGTCATGGCCAGTCTGTCAGCTCTTTCATTTCCTTTCACACTGTCATCTCCCAGTGGGTTCAGCCAGGATAGTTTCTTGAGGAGAGTCTTCTAGATGCTGTCAACCAATTCTAGTCAGATATTGCCTGTTTGGATCTTCTTAAGCATGCTCATTGAAATGTGATTTATATTTTTTCTCCTATATTTATAAAGATATGTGAAGGGGGTATTTAATAAACACAAAAAACACAAACAGGGTGAAACATTAGATGAAATACATTCCATAGGGCCTTAAAACATATTAATTATGCCATGGCTCGCTGAACTCTATCACTGAGGCTTTCAGAAAAATTTGGCATCAACTTGGCTTTGAAAAAGTGATTTGGCTCAATAGAAATTTCTTAAAAGCTATTTTTAGTTTATATATTTATATGCTGATCTCCTAAATGTTTTGATGGGCGAAAAACAGCAAATAGTAGTACCTATAAACAGGTTACTATACACAAGTTGGAAAAGTGACACTTACAAGGAGTAGGGCACAAACAGAAGTGGAGATGTCTTTTTAGCGGCTTCTCTTGATAGAATATTTAGAAGCTTTTTTTTTTTTTTTTACAGTTGACCTAGACTCTAGCTGCAGACAAAGAACACCCTCTGTATGAAGCTTTAGCTACACTTAAGGGACAGAGACTGAAAAGGGGAAAATCGTGGATGGCTCAAGCAGAAGACACAATAAGACAAGTATGCATGCTGGAGAACATTGGGCGAGGAGAGGAGTGGGTCACAGTACGAGAGGAAACGTCTGACCTTTGTAGGGTTATGATCAAATTGGGCCTGGAGTGCAGAGAGTGGCCAGCGGGTGCTAAAAGGTGGATGTCTAACACTTTCACAACAATTCAGGCCCAGGTGATCTGATTATCTACACAGATGGTTCCGTGTTGGGAGGAAAGAGAAGTGCCTGGGGATTCATAGCGAAAACCAATGGAAAATCTTTAGTGCAAAACAGCCTGGCATAGGACATCACATCTAGCATGAGAATGAAGGTGGTGACGGTAACTGCATCTCTCCAGTGGTTAGAGAACAAGATGCATAGACATGTCGTAATTGTAACAGACTCTGAAAGCATGCTGAGAGAGGTGAAGACAGGGATGCTTCAAGCAGAGTTGCAAGCTTCACTGGGAAGATCACTGGTAGTGAGCGTACTTTGGATCTTTTCTCCAAGCTATGCCGGCGTAGTGGGTAATGAACAGGCAGACAGATTGGCTGGATCTGCACCACTGGGTGGTGAATCGATACATGGCAAGGCAGATGTGGTCAAGGGCCTTTGTGAACAAGCAACGGAATGAGTAGAAAAAGAAGATTATTATGGCCTGGAGAGAATAAGACACCTGGGTGTAACCAGAGGGTCTGGCTGGCTCACTACACTCAGAGGAAAGGCAAGATAAACATATAACCAGATTGTGATTGGTACCATCAGTATTGGAACTCTGCACTGGCTGCTGAAGATGGGGACAGAGCGCACATAAGAATGCCCCGAGTGCTGTGATGTCAATTCTTGACTCAACTCGGCTCAACTCAACTCAACTCAACCTGAGCTCTCGTGTTGACCCAAACTATAATGGAAGCCGTCAACTTTTCTGGGAAATATTGATGACCAGAACAATAATGACTGCATCACCCATTGAATGTTAACTGGTCTATACAGTTCAGGGGCTAACATTAGATACTCGCTGTACCTTGGTGGGGAAAAGGTTCTTTATTTGTTATTATTGTTGGCTCCCAGACGATAGTGTTTCATGGGAGGCATGGGAACCTTAGCCCATGGCCATGGCATGTTTGACTAGCAAGTCGAGCTCCCGTTAAGAAAGAAGACTCTTCCACAATAAGTGCTTGGGACTGCAGGACCAGTGCTACCATCATGTGAATTTGATATGTTTCTTCTCAGAAGTTAAGCGCTTTTCCTGCCTGCAGTCCTTTTCGCCTGTGCCCTATCCCCTTCATTGCACATGGATAGCTCAATAAGTTCTCAGTCTCCTCACCTAGACCATACAAAGAGAATCTTATCCCAGTGCAACTCAAGCACACATCCATAGTTACACATACTATAAATATTTTTATCAGCAGGTTTTCTTATTTTCAAATTAGGCTTGCACATTAACTGTTTGACCTGATAGGTCATTTCCAAATCCAAAGTGGCTTTTCAGTTTGATAACTTGCTTAGGTTCTTCTAGTATTTTGTTCTTGTCTGAGCTAGTTTGATTTGTTAGTAAATCCACCAGTTATCCTCATTATGCATCAAACAAGTCCATAGGTGATCTGATTCCATCTCCAGTATATTCCTTCAGCATGATGGGACTGATAATACTTGCTTTGTGTTTGCTCAACACAGGGGTGCAAAGAAGAATAGTAAACCAACACAGGACTGGTATCATAAGCCACTACACGCTGAGGGAGAAATGAAGAGGGGATCTAAGCACTTTTGGACTAAATGGTTCGATGTTTAAAAAAAAAGTTAAGTAAAGGACCCTTTTCCACGCCTTTAGGTGTATAGGGCATATAGGGCTAGACCTATATTTTTGTAGACCAATCAGCACAAGATAGTGTTGTGTGCAGCATCACTCCGGCCGCCTCTACTCCCCAGGACTTTCTCTTCTACTTCTTCTTCATCCTCTTCCTTTTCTTCTCTTCTTCTTCTTCTGCCCTATATTCCCCAATAAAGCATAGACTCAACCAACTCTTGCCAAGTCATCCCTATCCTATGCTATTGACTGCTGCTCATCCTGTGTCCTCCCAGGTTTTTTTTTTTTTTCAACTTTACATGCTAGTTACCTTCTCCTTGTGTTTTTTGGTCTTTCTTTTGTCTTTTTTCCCTGGGGGTTCCAGTGTAATTTATTATGTGTTTGTAAAAAATATATAGGAAGTTGGCTAGCAGGCTTGATTTACTTACTTGAGATAGTAATATTATGGGAGAAGGGTTATGTCATTATATGTGATTAGTACATGAAACAACAGAAAATATGGTATATATATATATATATATATATATATATATACCTCACACAGAGGTAAAGGCTGTCTAGTTGGCATCACCTAGTGTTTCATAATTATTTGTATATATATATATATATACACACACATTTTATTAATGCATTTTAAAAAGGAAAGATGACAGTTATTTACCTTACAGAATTACCTTTATTGCAATAAAGTTGATAATGTCACAATTTAAGTACAATGAAATACATCTAGAAAATGTAAGTACATCGCAACAGATAAGTTAGTTATATATCTCAACAGATAAGTACTTTATAATATAGCATATGAACATTTGTGGTGTATTTAAATAACTGGAAATCCACTGATAATGATATGCAAGCAACAAACAACCACACGTAAAAACGTTACAGGCAAGACATACACTATAATCAAAGCATTACGTGTTGACTCATATTTTGTCACTTAAAAGCGTTCAGCAAGCAACAAACAAACAAAAACGGTTATGCCACTGGCATGCCGTCAGTTAATGGTCATGTACATCAGAAACAAGACATATCATGTTGTTGTACGCTTGTTCAGCATAAATGGAATGGAAATTAGCAACATAACATTTAAACCATTGTGCATCTAACCAGAATAATTTTAGAAGGACTGATGATTCAAGGTTGCTTCTCTTAGAACAGTTTGCTAACAACTTTCATGCTACAGTTGCGGAGCTATTTGATGGACCTGTAGCTCTTCAAACTCTGAGATCTATTGTCCCAGATTTATCAGAGACATTGTACAATACTTCTATACAAGAAAATTAAAAGGCTGACAAATTGGATGAAAACAGCAAAGAGTCACAACAACCAGACATTTCTGTTCTGTGTTACATAGTTTGTATAAAAACACTCAAAAGGTCACTTGTTCTTTAACCATAAGATAACTAATGTCTTTTGGTCAGGACTAACCAGCTGCTTTCTTTAGATTCAGAACATGAAGTGACTGACTTAATAGCCAAACATGCACAACGCTTGAGATGAATTCTACAGTAATTCCTTCAGTCAGGGACAGTCAGAAAACACACTATTTGACTTGTGCTGAGTGAGACTAAGTGTTTGTAGGCTAGTTTTGTGTGCAGTTATGTCAGTTTTTCATTACATATCATAAATAGTAAAGGACCATTTTCCACGCCTTTAGGCTTATAGGGCATTTAGGGCTAGACCTACATTTTATAGACCAATCGGCACACGATTGATGATGTGGTCAGCTTCACGCCCGCCACCTTTACTTCCCCGGACTGCACCTGGTACCCACTCATGGCTGGGTCAACCTGAGAGCCAAGATCATTTTTTTTAAAAGTCCGGCTCCGCAGGGAGCAAAGCCACAACCTTCCGATTTGCAGGCCGCCATGGCGACTCCCACAAATCATAAAAAGGTCTGAAACATATAAACTGTTAACAGTAAAGACATAACTAGAACTGCAAAATTCACAAAGTCACAAACAATTTACAATAAATCATGTCTTGTGCAAACATACTTCTAACTGGAATGGTTCACACAATAAAGGAACTCTTATTCTCATCTGAAGTGATTTCTTACAATGAAACCAAGTTCAATGCTATGATATACTCTGATACAACAACAAAAAATGAGCAAAATTATGAAAGGCTGAATCCTGTAGCAGTTCATTATCTGGAAGAGCTGTCATCTGATGCCTCAGCATTCGGCTCAAGATGTTCATGGACAAACTTTAATTTCCCACTTGTGAAATCTGAAACTGCCTGTCCTGACCCGGACAACACCCACTTATATGTGAGCAAACCTTCCAGACCTACGGGGCCCCGTGCATGGATACGTGTTGTGCTCACTCCAACTTCAGCTCCTGTTTAAATAAACAAAATACAGTGTCAAATATTTAGTGAGAGATAAATTTTTTTCTTTTTTCTTTAATAGGCGTTTAATTTATTTTTCCTCATTTCCATTGACCGGCTATAAACGCTGACATTAAATCTTTATTGCTCATCCATTTCTGAATTTTGGTCTTGTTCCAGGACTCGATTGTTTTGTATACATCCATTTTACAGATATGATTTATTTGTGTGCAGACTGTTGGTTCCTTGATCTCATGTTGAGGCACCCCAACTTTAAAGGCGGTACTTTGGTTTAAATCTCAACACTGTCACCATATCTCAACACTGTCACCATATCTCAACACTGTCACCATATCTCAACACTGTCACCATATCTCAACACTGTCACCATATCTCAACACTGTCACCATATCTCAACACTGTCACCATATCTCAACACTGTCACCATATCTCAACACTGTCACCATATCTCAACACTGTCACCAAATCTCAACACTGTCACCATATCTCAACACTGTCACCAAATCTCAACACTGTCACCATATCTCAACACTGTCACCAAATCTTAACACTGTCACCAAATCTTAACACTGTCACCAAATCTTAACACTGTCACCATATCTCAACACTGTCACCATATCTCAACACTGTCACCAAATCTCAACACTGTCACCATATCTCAACACTGTCACCATATCTCAACACTGTCACCAAATCTCAACACTGTCACCATATCTCAACACTGTCACCAAATCTTAACACTGTCACCAAATCTCAACACTGTCACCAAATCTCAACACTGTCACCATATCTCAACACTGTCACCAAATCTCAACACTGTCACCATATCTCAACACTGTCACCAAATCTTAACACTGTCACCAAATCTCAACACTGTCACCAAATCTCAACACTGTCACCATATCTCAACACTGTCACCATATCTCAACACTGTCACCAAATCTCAACACTGTCACCATATCTCAACACTGTCACCAAATCTCAACACTGTCACCAAATCTTAACACTGTCACCAAATCTTAACACTTTCACCAAATCTTAACACTGTCACCATATCTCAACACTGTCACCATATCTCAACACTGTCACCAAATCTCAACACTGTCACCATATCTCAACACTGTCACCATATCTCAACACTGTCACCAAATCTCAACACTGTCACCAAATCTCAACACTGTCACCATATCTCAACACTGTCACCAAATCTCAACACTGTCACCATATCTCAACACTGTCACCAAATCTCAACACTGCCACCATATCTCAACACTGCCACCAAATCTTAACACTGCCACCAAATCTTAACACAACCAACTTGTCAAGATTTACACCCTGCATTCCAGACTAATCTAACACATCAAGCTTGCAAATATATTTAAGTTAAACTAAGACACCAAAGTTAAGTTATTCAACTCGTGCAAATTATGTTAACATATCCAAATTTAAATAACAAATCAAGTTATACTGACACGTTTGTTTTAAGTTATGCTAACTCGTTCAAGTGAAACTAATGTATAAAGTTATGTAAATACACGCAAGCAGGTTTTTTTTTTCTAGAAGAAAAATGGTGCCTGCACTCACATAAAGTGTCTATTACAAGAGTACTGAACAAATGATGCTTAAAAAAGAGGGCTGGTGTTGGTACTGCATACTGTCACATACCACGGGAAAAGAAAGCCCTGGTTTCGTTACATGGTTGCACCATTCGGTTCACGAGGGCAATTTTTATGGAGACCCCTGAGAATCATTGCCAGAGTTTTGGAGTTTGTGCTTTGTGCAGTGCTCTCAGCAGATGGCTAACTGGTCTGTGGAGAGAGACCGAGCCATATGCGATAAAACCCAGTATAATGAAATCGAACCTTTTGACTTTATAGACTGCTCTGAAGTTTGAAATTATAAAAACAGTCAACTGATCAAGAAAGAAACAGATGTTTGTGTGCTGTGCACCCTTCTGTCATTCTAGACACTACTGTTTTGAAGCTAGTCTTGAAGATTTTACCATAGATGACTTGTTTAAAAAGAAACCATAATTTTTACAACTTACCAAGTCCATATCTGTAGCCATCTGCAAATCTTGTGCTTGCATTCCAAAACACACTTGCACTGTCGACCATTTTTAAAAACTTCTCTGCATTCTCTTCTGTTGAGGAAATGTAAAGAAGTTATGGTAATGTGCAATGTAAAAGTCTTTTTATTGCTGTATTATTAATTTTTTTATATAAAGGTTTTTAAAATAATTACCAGTTTGTAAACCTGGTACAGCAAATTTGCAGCATGGAATCTTAAAGCAGGTTTTTAAGTATTAAATACAAAATCCGTTTGCCTGATTTTGATCCATTGAAGCCACGTTGGGAGGAATAGTTTTTGATCCATTAAAGCCACATTGAGAGGAATAGTTTTTTTTCCATTGAAGCTACCCCAAAGCTGGGGCCCTGTTATAGGGAAAACAAGAATAGACCCACTGCCTCCTCAAAAGCGTGTCGTAAGAGTCGACTAAGTGGGAGCTTCCTTCGAAGTCGGAGTGCATCTGCCTGAGACGCAAGGAACCAACAGTCTGCACGCAAATGAGCCAGATCTGTCAAACGGATGCACGCGCAACACTCAGGTTCTGAAAAAGTACTGCAGTCCAGAAGTGGACAAACAACCAGAACTTTCCACCAGAGTTTACAGCTGGTGAATGTGAGAAAGAAAAAGAAGACGATTACATTTTTTTTTAAACCATTGTCTTGTCGTGAGGAGGAGGAAATTGGGTGTACATTGTGATGGTGAGAAAATTAGGAGAAAAACAAGGCAGAGGAAGAAAGAAAAAAAGATGCAGGGACAGTCTGACATATTGGCATGGGAGATCATCAGTGTCAGAACTGATTGAAAGTAAACAAAACAGAAGCTTACGGATAGACCAGTATCATATGCCATGGACTATAACAAGAAGAAGAAATTGTTATTATTTAACAAGTAAGACCAGATGAAAGGCAAGACAGACATATAATCAAACTGCTACTAGTACCATAAATATTGGAACTCTTCGGTGGCAGCTGAAGATGAGGTCAGAGTAATAATGGGAACGTCCTGAGTACTGAGTTTTGATTCATCTGAGTTCAGTTAATATATAAGTTTACAGGACTACATGAGTTGTCAAACTATATTGTGCTAGGGCTGTGCAGTGTTTCCCCTTACAGTCCATCTGTTTAAATATGTTAGTAATGAATTAGAATGACTGGCTGAGTGGTTAAAAACGATGGGCTATTATTTAAGAGATCAGGGTTCAAATCCTTGATAAGGTGATGGGTTTTTATTCTTTCAGGTACAAAATAAAAAATCCTTTCCTGAGCAGCCTGTGGCGACCTCATCTGTTGTGCCAGTGGCATGAAAATAATCCTTTAAAAACTTTACTTACATAAGAATGGTAGAATAGGTCGAGAAATAGAAACAAGATGCCAACGAGCCTGTGCACTTATATACCAACTGACACCGTTATTAAAACATCCAAACGTAAGTATGAGCGGCAAGAAATAGATTATAAGCAGCATATTCATACCAACACTGTGCTAACAGTGCCAGACTTCTACATTATCAAAGACTAACCTACGTAAAATTACCACCTGTGAAATGAGATGCCTGAGAAAAGCCGCCATCTTAACCATCTGAGATAAAGCTAGAAATGATATTATCAGACAGACTGTAGGAACAACACCATGCAGCAAATTAATTGAGAAACAGATAAAATTTTGTTTGGTCATTTAGTAAGAATGCAGCCAGAACAACTACCAATGCAGGCGCTATGCATGAAAGGATCTGAAGTAAAAGTAAGAGGCCGTCCTAGGAGAATATGGATTGATGACATTAAAGAGCTTCTACATCGACACGGAATGACAGTGGCCATTGTTGCCCATCAAGCAATGGGATCACAAACTGTTCCTCCCCACAACTCTTAACAGCAGAAATGGAAACTGTTGATGATAATGAGAACTTACACAACACACGCTTACAGAAAAATAGAGACTGTTTAGTGCAGTATGTGCTTACACTCAGAAAGACAGGGCAGAAAAGCCTTGTATTTACTACCACAATGTCTAGTCTAAGAAATGAGGAGAAGGCAGTCACTGCAGCATCTTGATGGTTGAAAAACCATTTCTTAGTAAATTGACACATGACAAGCTGGATGTTATCAAGGCTGTTTGGCCTTTGTGTAGAGGCACACAAAATCATCATAATTTGAAGAGACTGGTGCAGCAGGAGAATAACCAGGGTAAACGGCTGACTGAAACTCACCTCTCAGAGGGAGAGCAAAATGAGGATGCAGTCAGACTGCTACTGGAACTGGAACCCTGTGCTGGCTACTGAAGATTTGGATGGAGCACTCACAAGATTGTTGCCGTCTGTGGCTCAGACATTGCGAACATGCTTCGTAATGCCAGGGTGCTGGGTTTGATCCCAGCTGCAGACAATTTGTCCTGTGTGGTTTCAAGTGAAACCGAGAGCTGACCCTTCAGAGGCAATGGCAAACTACTGAACGTAACATTTGCCTAGAAAAAAAACAACAACATCCCCCCCAAAAAATGCTGGGGTTGGTTCTGCAACGTCATGTAAAGGGTACTCAACTAACTTTAACTCACAGAAATATCCCAAGTGCTATGATGTGGTTTCTTAACTCTTAAAGATCAATATTGCCAAATACAATACACATACAGCAGAGACAGAACTAGGAGCACACAAATGCACATAAAACTGAAACTTGCCATTGCTAGTGACAATAGCATCCGTGTGTGAGCTGCCGTAGGTGTTGATATGTTGTATTGCACCATCCAAATCATCAACAATTTCCACGGCACACTCCAGTGACCCGTATTCTGTATGCATGGACGGAGCCACAGTAGGACCGAATCTCAGAGCCTGGCCCAGGTTAGGTCCAGCATTGATTTTGACCTAGAGAAAACATAGGTCAGGTGAAACATTGGTTGTTAATATTTGAAAAGGAGAAAGCAAAGAACCTTTGCTTTTCATGCATCTTTGGTATATGGTATAAGCCTGATATTTTTTATAGTTTTCTTCTGCATTGACCCTATTATAAGGGCGGTAGGCACATTGCATCGTGGTTTACAGCTGTGATGTCTGAATTTTATGTTCAGTAGTTTCCCACTGCTTTTTGCATGGTCAGCTCACGATACCACTGTCCAAACCAAAGCAAGACAAATCATCCTCAGCTGGGATCGAACCTGGCATCTCAGCATTACAAAGCTTGTTCGCAATGCCTAAGCCACAGACGTCGATAAATACTGTTAACAAGAGGAATAATAAGCATGTATATCTCTAAGTCAACATCAGCTTCGGGAAACGGAGCACCAATGCAGATAGATGTCCTGAGAGCACTGTTGTCTATTCAAGGTAAGAATTAATGTGTCTATAATTCTTAAACATCACAGTAGATATTTAATATAGATGTTGTATAGTAAATATTCTTAACTCTTTCAGTTCTAAGCAAGGCCTGGTGTGTGAGTGGCTCTGTCTCTTGATTTCCCTCCATAGCATAATATGCTTTCTTAATTTTAATCTTTAGGCAGAACATACTAAAAAATCTGTCTGCCCTGGTGGTAATTTTCACTGTTTTTAATTGCCACTGTGAAAGTATTACATTCATGATTTTTAACCATGGTTATTTCTCTATTTTGGCATCTCATGTGAGACATCCTGGTACTGAAGGAGTTACAAACATTGTAAATTAACATGTAATAATTTGTTATTTCACTAGTGTGTGAAAATACAAGAGGTCATCCAACAATACACTGGGGGTCTCTGTGGCGAAGTGGTTTTTACGGAGATCCCTTGGAGCTTGCCAGAGCTACAGAGTTCGTGCTCTGTATGGCACTCTCGGCAGGCGGATAGCTGTTCTACAGAGAGAGACTGAGCTATATGGTATAAAACCCAGTGCAATAAAGTCAATTCAACTTTAACTGTTATTGGACCTATATTCTTTCTGAAGATGTGAAGACAACCATGAATAAAGCATACATACAAGATGTCTCTTCTCAATCTGAGATGTGATAGAGAAGAAGCAGCAGCAAAAAAAAAAAGTGATGCATAATACGACTCACCCCTTGAAGTCGGAGCATCTCACACAGTTTATCAAACAGTACACCTGATCTGTGAGATTTGTGGATGAGCAATGTCTCCATGCTGTTACATGCAGCGGGGTAATCACACTTGGCATCTCTGACTAGAATAGTTTAAAGGAAGCATGAATGAATATAATGTACTCCTCATTTGGTTTGGTTTTGAGTTAAGAATCACCTAATTTGTACACTGACATCTCTTTTAGTTGGGGGGTTCCATGGCGAAGTGGTAAAGACATTTGTCTTGCGCTCTGAAGTTTGTGAGTTTGTTTCATGGCTGCATCAGTTGGTTCATGGGTGCAATTTTTACCGAGATCCCCGGCAGTCAGACTTAGGGTTGGTGCTTTGTGTGATGCTCTAGGCAGGTGGCAACTGGTTCTGCAGAGAGACAGGCTATATGGGATAAAACCCTGTGCAATGAAGTTGATCCTGTCACCTTTAACCTTGAATCTCTTTTGAGTGCTGCAGTCTTCCTTGGTTCACACAAAGGAGTAACTCAACACAGTGCTGATAACAATCCAAACATGTGTAAATTTCAATCTTGTGCGGGTAAGTTTTCTCAGCAATAACTATGAATAATTATAATCACAATACTTTTAACGAATATAATATGACAATTTTTTAAAGGCAATATTTTGCTTGATATAATTGATTAGACTGAATGAGAGTTTATATGGTGTGGCCATTTTGAATGAATGCACAGAACTGAGTCTGGCTTGAGCTATATGCAGATGCCATAATCTGATCCTCTTTATCCCCTTAAATACTTCTTCTTTCTTTATCTTCTCGAGCTGTAAACTCTTACGAAAAGTTCTACTTGTTGCCCACTTCTCAACTATGGTCTTGTACCAGAACTTGATTTTGAATGTGCATCCTTCTTACAGATCTGGCTTATTTAAATGCAAATAGTTGGTTCTCTGCCTCTCAGGCAGATGCACTCTGACTTCCAAGGAAACACCCTTTATTAGTCAACCTTTATTACATGCTTGTCACGGGGCAGTGGATCTGTCTTCCCCTCCCCCCCCTTTCCTCACCACCACCACAATGGAGCCTGAAACTAACACAGGGAATAAACTAATATACAAATATAATTTAACAGCAGCATGAAGAAAATTATTACCAATGTGAAGTGCCATTTCAGGATCTACATCCTTGTCCACATAAACATGGCAGACGCCCTCACTGTGTCCAAGCACGGGGATTCCCTGGCTCAGCTGTTGGATTCGTGTGACCAGGTCTTTAGAGCCACGAGGAATCACCAGGTCAATGAACTGGTCCAGCTGTAGAAGATCTGCAATGTCTTCCCGTCGACTGATCTGGAATTTGAATAGAAATATGGCAAAGAATTATTATTAAGTGAGCTTTGGTGCATAATGGAAACATTATAAAGTGTCATAGTCATTCTTACAAGACCATAATCATAAAACATAGAGGATGTTGTAATGACAAGCCTCAGTCAGCAAATAAATCTTTTACACTAAAAATTACGCTAAAACAAATGCATTAGAGCACAGTGCAGTGCAGACCATTTAACTCTTTGAGTCCCAGAGGGTTTAGCATCACGGGCCCAAGGGGTAGTCAAGAGACACGTAAATTTGGCGCATCATGCATTCATTGGGCTTCTAGACAGTAACCTATGAACGTATGATGGGTTCCTTGGGAATCAAAGAGTTAAGGCGATCTCAGATATGGCAAATTTCTGTTATGAAAAACAATTTGTTTTTCTGGTTTGATTTAAATTCTTTTCTGGATAAGAGGAATTTCTGATAAGAAGAACCATTTCCTGGGTCCCCGGTGAGTTCTCTTTATCAGATCTGCATAACATCATTAAATATTGATATTAATACTTTATCAGAAAGTTGCTACTACTGATGTTTCTATTTTCATACTTTTATTATATATTTGCCACCTCTTCAATTAGTCAGTTTTTTCTGCTTCTTTTTTTTTCTCTATACCCTGTTCTGCCTTTCAGCATCAAGTTTTAAAGGGCATATGTTGCGAGCCTTGTTGTGTGATTTTTAGACGCTGGTATTCATGGCCTCAGTTATTCCATCTATCCATTGCTTGTGTAGGAGATCTCTGAATCTGCTTGTGTTGTGTCTAAGTAACAGGCCTCTATCTGCTGCACTATTTTTGGTAGTCTCCTTAAATATATGAACTTTACAGTCAGTGAGATGTGGCATTATTTATATTTGTCCACAGCCTTCTGTCTCATGTACTGCCAGTTATTTCTGATTTAAGTGTTCCTCCAGGCCAGTAAAGCCATACTGTCCAACATACTCTCTATTAATTTTAGCTGCAGATGCCATAGATGGAAAATAACTACTATTTAAAAAAATTCATTAGATAATGAATTTCAAACAATTCAAGCACACCATGGAAGTGATAAGTGGGAAGCCAGATTTTAAAAGTTCTAAAACAAATGTAAGATTTATGAGAAAACATATGATGTCTGGGATTCATGGGAAAATGGTGGATCACATTTCTTTTACGACTGAAAGAGTTAGTCAAATGTGCTCTTGATGAGCTGCAGGGGGCTAAAATCCAGTAGCTAAAATGCTGGCCTGTGTACTGGGTGGTCATTGGTTGATATCACCCTCAAGGCAGGAATTTTAGAAAACAAAACTGACCTGCACTCTCAGGTTGACCCAGCTTAAAGACAGTATCACACAGTGAATGCCCTGGCAAGGAGAGGTGGCTGACGTGATGTTAACCACATCACCCACTGACTGCCTATTTGTGTATACAAACATACACCCAATACGAATCTGTATATAACAAAGACGTACTGTTATATTTCTTTTTTGGCACTCCAGACCTTTGATGTTCCCTTGTGCAATTATCCTATGCCTCCATTCATCTCTGTGATTGGCATTTTCTTTCCAATTGATGACTCCAAGTATTTGTAGGTCTGCCTATGTATTATCACTGCTGATAGTCTGCTTTGTGGTCTACACCCATTCTTCTTCTTCTTCCTTTTTTCGCTTTAACTGGCTGTAAACTCTGGCAGAAAGTTCTAGTTGTTTGTCCACACTTAGACTCTAGTCCTATTCTAGAAACTGAGTTTTGTGTGCTCATCCATTTCATAGGTCTGACATGTGCATGCGGACTGTTGTTCCTTGCCTCTCAGGCAGATGTACTCAAAGAACTTCAAAGATAGCTCCCAATTAGTCAACTCTTATGACACACTTTTTGGGCAGGCAGTGGGTCTATTCTTGTTTTCCCTACAATGGGGCCCGGAACCCACACAGGGATATGCTCAGTAAACTTTTTTTGTACAGTTTTTGCTTGTGTGTCTATTAACTACCGTTCTCTCTATATGCCCCAAACTTCACAGTTGATTAACCCTCATGATGCCAGTAACTAGAAATTCAAACAGATTACCTCAGTGCATTATTATAAACTTTTTAGAATGGGGTCTTGAAACAAATATCTGGACTCATCAAAATGCAAAAAAGCAAAGAAGGAACGTTGAGAATCAACATGAAATTCATAAACTGGACATCTCATGCTGAATATCAAATGTATGTCACTCACCAAACCCACTGTATCAACAGGGACATAGGGCTCCAGGGCTTCCTGCACCAGGGAGTAGAGCAGCTTGTTGCTGTGCATTGCCTCTTTGCCTCCCTTTAGCAGAAGACCATTTCCACTACATATGGAGAGTGCTGCCACCTGGTTAAAGAGAAACAACTACAATCAGTAGTTCCAAACTCCTATGTATTAAAAACAATATCATGCTAATATAAACAAACACTGCAATTGAGCCAGAATGTTGTTGGTAATATGAGGTGGTGAACCTCAACTGTTTAAAAAGAACATTTGTTACTCACTTTAAATTTATAACAGCTGGCAACTTATTACACATAATTCACTAATATTAAAACTGTAATTAAATGGGTTAGAGATAATGAAACACAAGTAGATAAGAAAAGCTTACTGAGTGATAAACACCCGGTGACACAAAGTGCCACATTTTGAATGAGAATCACCCATGGAGAGGTCCTAGAAACCCTGTTCAACCATTAGGTTATATTAGGGCCCCTGGCAACAACCCTAAATTTACATACTAGTAGTACATTTTACCCCATCAGGACATCACACAAGCAATAAACACCCGATGACACAAAGTGCCACCATGTGAGTGAGGATCACCGTGGAGAGGTCCCAGAAACTGCATACAGCCATTAGACCATATTTATCGCCGGGCTATAATGAGGCCCCTGGCAAGAACGGGAGGGGGGGGGGGGAGGGGCTTCAAAATAACGAAAAATCTGATCCCACAAGGGAGTGACTATTTTGGAATATAGATACATATATATTTACTATAAATCACAAATCCTTTCTGTATTTCATGTGTTTATTATAAATGAAGTGTTAACTCCTCTCAAATCGTTATTAATAGACAGGTTAAATTTTCTGTAGCCATTTGGACAACAATGTTAAAATTAACAGTCACATTGATGGCCTGGATTATTGTGCATTTCTTTTTATTGTGACAATCAGTAAAAGTAAACTTTTGCTGGATTTATATCCCTTTGCATCATTTTCATATTACTTTCCTTAAATAGGTAATTAAACAAACATATATATATATATATATATATATATATATATATATATATATATATATATATATATATATATATATATATATATATATATATATATATATATATATTCGTGGGTTCGCTCCCTGGCGAAGCCGGACTTTTTTCAAAAATGACCTTGGCTCTCAGGTCAACCCAGCCTTGAGTGGATACCAGGTGCAGTCCCGGAAGTAGAGGCGACCGGCGTGATATTGACCACATCACCCATCTTGTGCCAATTTTTCTATAAAAATATAGGTCTAGCCCTATATACCCTAAACGCCTAAAGGCGTGGAAAAGGGTCCTTTACTTTATATATTTCAATGTTATCTTCCTTGAAGCCACATATCTATGTGTCTGAGACAATACATTTGTCTGCCTCCTAAACTGTTAAATATAAATACTTATGTTAGTATTACAGGGGATGCCTTGGGCGCACTTAAGGGCAATGACTAAAGATACGGCAGCAGTGAAGACAACAATGAAATAGAAGACATGATTTTAGTTAGGCCTTTATTTCTACTGCGTTGCGAGTTCGACTTGTAATTCCAAAGCACCGCGATCAAAACCCACTGCTGGCTGCATGGATTTTTATCATGGTAGGGGGCATCACAGGTCTACCCAGCCTAAAGTGGGTACCAGGATGTAATGCCCTGGGGAAGTAAAGACGGCTGGCGTGATGCTGACCACATTACCCACCTAGTGCCAATTGGTCTGTAAAAATATAGGTGCTCTTCCCATATGCCAGATGCACCTAAGGCGTGAAAAGGGATCTTTACTTTTTTTAACCTCTATTTCTACTAGGCCAAGTTAAAGGGCAGCGTTGGAGACCAAGATGAGGTAGAGGACAGGACAATAAGACTTTCTTTCACTATCCCAGGTGAAGCCAAGAAACTGTTGGCACTTTTCCAGACAATAATGTTTCATCTCGCTATAGGGAGGCAAGAGAGTCACAGCCCATGTTGATACCAGTTAAGGCTAGGGATGAAGTTCCTCCTCTCTATAGCACAAAGCCTGGTCAGTATTGTAGAAAACGTGTGGCCCATGCAGCACATTCCTCTGTCTGCCTGCTCTATTAATTCCAAAGGACAGATATCATCAATACATATGGAATAAAGCATGCTGTATAGACACTGATTCACAAAAAGAAAGACAGAGAGAAAATAAAACCAGTCTATTGAAGCACTGAATGTTTATCCCACCTGTGGTAGAGCATCAGGGCGAGACTCAAAGATCACCATCAGAACTCCAATAGGCACTGTCTGCTTTTCCAGAATCATTCCATCTGCTAGTCTGGTTCTCTGAATCACCTTACCGACAGCATTTACTGAGTCAACACCAATCTTGCGAAGTCCTCTGGCCAGTGTTTCTAACTTTTGCTCACTTAGATATAGACGAGCAATGTCTGTCTGTGACATTCCTGATGAAAAAGAAATCAAGAATCATTTCTTGATGAACATCACATACTTTTATGTGTAACCTAAGGACTTAGACATAAAATATAGACACAGCACTTTGAGATTGATTCAACATTCACAAAGATACTATCACAAAAATATTAACACACAATAAAATGGAAATGATTACTGTTGCACAAAACAGGTCTTTTAACTTTTTCAGTACCAGAAGAGCTCGTAGTTTGCAAAAATTATAAAACCAGAGTATTTCAATTATGTGAATATACATGCACGCAAAAGAAAAAGCAAATACCTGATGCAAAAGCTGCTTGTACATCATGTTGATTTGCAGCCAGAATTTCTGACTTTCGCTCCAGCAGGAGATCTGCCAGTTTGTTGATGATTGCAGCTCGTTGTGAACCAGACAGTGACTGTAGGATTTTACTTCCATCACGAGCTAAAGCAATAATCACAAATAAACACAGTTAAAAACTGTGTCTTCACATGGAGTACCTACTCATTCACACACTTGTGCCTCTGCTGTATGCAGAGATGCAAATGCAATTTTCTTTAAATGCATTTAAAAAAAATTTATTTTTAAATATTATATATTACTTAAAAGATTACTTATAAAAACTTCTTGCAGTCTAAGCTGTGTGGCTGGTTATTAAGTGTGTCCATTAGATTCTGCATTATGTTCTGTCTGTCATTTCTGATGCTATGACTTCAGTCTGTTTGACATCATCTCTCTCTGGCTGTTTTTCCCTCCTACAGTCTTGCTGTAACAATGTAAGTTTTATCTTGCCAGTTTAGGGGGAAAAAGTCCTGGACAGGATCGTTTTCACTGTACCAGTTTTATCTTATGTGGGTTGGTCTCAGTCTACAGAACATTGCTTGTTGGCTGTCAAGAGCAATGCATAAAGCTGACTCCACAGCTCCAGTGATGACTTCCATAGATCTCTGGAAAACTTCTCATGATTCAGACAAGACCCCCTGAAAACTAACTCATTACCTTCAGAGTAGGGCTGTACCAAATATTAGCTTCGGGGCCGAATAGTGGACCTAAAAACTATTTGGTATTTGGCCGAAAATGCGGTCGGGCCAAATACGAATGGTGGTAACCTTACACCCGTTTCTGCATACACTGCGACAGTTGCTGTTGCCTAAGTCGCTTTCATGCAATAACTAAGCTGTCAGTGACAATTTACAAGTGTAGTTACTTGTTATAAAACTAAGAATACTTTCATTCCTAGGTATTATCGCAGACTGACTGACTGAAGGATGCAAAACATAAAATATTTTTAAATGTTAACTGTTCTGTATTACATTTTGTGAAGTAAAATTTCAATGTACATTTGACATTATGAATGATTTTTTTTTTAGATCTATTTTATACACTATACACTATTCGAAAGTGGAAGAATAGGCCGCAGTTTAAATAGTGGAGAGACAGAAGTAATTGTGGTAGCAAAGAAAACAATTATTCCTAAATGTGTAATAAAAGTCATGTTGTTATTTTGGGACAAGTACAGAAATTTAAGTATCTGGGCACATGGATAACATCAGATGGAAGACGCATTACTGAAATGAGAAACAGAATAGGACAGGCAAAAACTGTATTTTATAAAATGAAAAAACATCTTTTGCAATATATCTTTGTCATTGAAGGTTAGAAAAATCGTTCTTGCTTGCTACATCAAGTTTTAACATTTGGCTGTAAGTCCTGGACAATCGGTAGGCGGGTCAAACGATTTCTTGAGGTCCAGAGATGTGGTTATACGGAACAATTCTTAAAATACCTTGGACATCCCCCCAAAAAAAAACAAGCAACCACAAGGTTTTAAAAGAGGCGGGAGCCCGAAGACAACTAATCACAGACATCAGAAGGAGACAGTAATAATTTTTCGGCCATGTTATGAGAAGAGGGAAAATGGAACATGTGATGACCACTGGAAAGATCTGTGAAAGGAGGGATAGAGGAAGACAGCAAGAGAAGATTCTTGACAGTCTTGTTGCATGGCATGGAGGTGTGTCAGCACATGAACTCATACATGCTGCAGGAGATCGCAGATTGTGGTGAGGCGAGGCACCTGATGATGATAATACACTATTCATATTCGGATTCAGCCGAAAAGTTGATCCTGCTATTCATATTAGGCCGAATAGTGAAAATCACTATTTGGTACAGCTCTACTTCAGAGTGCAACGTAAATAATTCAACCACATGACTGCAGAGTCACCCACGACTGTAGATATGTTGAATTTTAAAAACAGTGAACATTTTTCTTGATGACAGAAAGATAAACTACTTGTAAAATAAAATATGCAGATATGTTCCTACCTTGTTTAGCTTGAACCTCAACAGGGATTCCTCTTGTTTGTGCCTTTGTGAAAAATGTTCCAACTTTTTTGCCTTTCACAATGTTAACAATTGCATTCTCTTCACAACCATTGCAGATGACCACAGAGCAATTTCTGTCCAAAGCATAGGTTGCAGCTCTCACCTGAAATTGTTATAAATAAACTGTTCAACATTACAGCAGAACCTCAGGATACAAGTTGGTCCATTGATACAAGTTATTCATTATATAAGGTAAGGCTCGCCAATTTTTTGGGTTCCAGGACCTACTGTGAAATCTTATTCTTCTTTCATTCTGCAATGTTTTCTCTAGTATAAACTTTACTATCTTTTGTAATTCACTCAGTGACCCGTAAAGTTTGACTTACACCGATGTTTCTTTTGGCCAAAAGTTTTGTCTTGATATGTTGTATTTGGGACAGTCTTGGAGGACATGATCTGTTGTCTCAGGTGCCAATCCACATGTGCACATGGCTTATTTGCTGATTTTAAATTTTGTGTACATTGGCTGCAAAGTCGATTGTGTCCTGTTCTAAGGCATAGAAAGTGAAATCTAAGATGTGCGCTTGAGAAGGGAGAACTCTCGGTTTTACCAGACAGCATCTTGATAACTTTTAAATGGATTAGGTCATCTTAACATTGCTGAAGGACGACTTCAGTCGACAAGGCACTTGATGATGATCCACTGCAGCATCATGGTTGTCCACTGCCAGCAAAAATTAAAAAGCTGTGCCCTCAAACTGTCCACATTAATGAAAAACACCATATTCAAATTATCTGGGTTTTTTTTTTTTTTTTTTTTTTGGACAGGGCTGAAAAAAAATTATTATTTACGTTAATTTAAATGAGCAAACTAGTTCCAGAATATGAGTTTATTTACCAAACGAGCTCAGTCAGTGAAGTGCCTAGATGCTAGCCTATTGGCCCTTAACTGTTTCAGTCCCAAGCAATACCTGATGTGTTGATGAAGCTACCCTTTGATTTCCCTCCATAGCATAATGTGCTGTTTTATTTGTTTTGGTCAGAACACAGTAAAAAATCTGGCTTTCCCAAATGATCACTACCAAACTATATGGAAAAGGGGGGGGGGGAGGGGTGTTCATGGTGTTCCAGCGTTCGATCCTGTCGGTGATAGACTGTGGATTTGAGGTGCTTGCCGTGTCAAGGTCTCAGCTGATGAGGCTTGGGTGCATGCAGAGTCGGGCCATGAGGGGTAGTTATGGGATGTGTGGGAGATGCCCCAGTGGTGTGTATGCAGTGTATGCTTGCACTGCCAGTTGTTGCAGATGGGCTTAGTGTGCTGCAAGCAAAGTCATATCTCAGAGTAGCCGCAGATAGGAAGCTTTCACTCACGGGTCCACTCAGCAAAATAAGTACCAGGAAATTTACTGGAAGTAAAGACACCTGGGGTGATGATGTCCATGTCAAACAACAAGTGCAGACTGTTCTATTAAAATATGTGTTTAGCACCATGTATCTAATACACCACTATCTTGAAAATGGTCTTTACTTTATTTTAATTGCTCTTATATTTAAGACACTAAATATTATTAAACACTACAATAAATATAATATTTTAGTTGTTCGTGGAGCCTCATGTAAACACTTCTTGTTTTAACATGTTCTGACCTAAACAACGCATAGTGTGTAATGAGATAATCCTTAAATGTTGAATTAAGAATCGACACTCCAGCACTTTGGACACTTCCATGAGTGCTCCATCCCCATCTTCAGTAGCAAGCGTAGAGTTCCAATTCCAATGGCACCAGTAACTGTCTGATTGTATATCTGTCTCATCCTTCCCCTGAGTGTTGAGTGTCGGCAAGATCCCCTGGGATAATCCTTGTGAGTCATAGCCAACGAATAGTGTGTTTTCATTATGTTTTAAATTTGGTCAGACCATATTCCAGAAATCTGGCTACCCTAGTGGTCACTTTGATATGTTTGGTCTTTGTCTAGCTTTTTCATATCTTTTGTCCTTACTGGGGATTTGCTGCTAAAAATTCTGGTACCCAGAGAACTAAAGTATCTGTCCATTTATGTTGAAATGCTCATGAGGGATTTCTAGCTTCAGCATTCATTTTGTAGTTCAATTCTGTTCTATTGTCAAGCTGACTAGTTCTACTTCTCATTTCAGATTGAAACTGTTTGACTTCTGAACTTACCTTTGAGTCCATACCACCAGTACCAACTCTGGATTTCCCTGCAATGATGACCTGGTCTGTATCTGGACAATACGTGTGAAGAAGTCTGGAGTCAGGCATACCAGGAGGTGATGTGTACAAGCCATTGACATCACTCATTAGGATGAGCAATTCACTGTGAAGTTCCGATGCTAACCGAGCTGCAAGACTGTCATTATCTTTCACGCTGATCACCTGAAACAAATTATTCAAAAAAATATCAAGCATAACCAGTAATCAGTTAAAAATGGTATGTAATTTAAATATTAATAAATTTATGAGAAGATTCATTTAAATTTAAGGAGCCATAGAGGCTAGTGATTTTTCTGTGAAGATATTGTTAGGGCTTTAGCTCTCACCATAGGCAGGACTATTTGTATTAACTATGGCTCCTCCTGTCATATTTAAAGATTCTGTATCCATAATTATTTTAGTCAGATTGTGTCTGATCTTTCAGGAATCATTTCCACATCTGCTGCTCCTTTTAATGTGGTATTTCACAAAAGCAGAGATAAAATGCAGATGTAATACAATAAATCACATTATTTGAAAGTTGTCACCATTACTGTAGCAGCATCTATGTAGCACATACCAAGTCTCACACCACATCCCTCTTACAAAGCCTGATGCTGAAAGGGCAAAACATGACTACAGAAAAAAAGATGAAAAACATTTCACAACAACAAAATAAAGTATATCAGTTTTTGATATATTTTGCAGGTTGTCCCAGCTTGGTCAGTATATGACACTGAGAGATCTATTACTCAAAATATACGCCAACAAAAAGAAAGAAAAAAACAGAACAGAAATCTAAACAAGTAATTTTTTAAAACATACGGAGGAGGTACATTACCAGAAGACTTAAACGCCAGTCTTGAATATCTCCAACTTAATAATGATAAAATATGATATATCTAGTAAAGCACTGGCTGTACCTACCCCTGCTAAATCTATGTCTTGTTCTGGTGGGCCTGCTACAGCATCATTTGCATTGACAATGGGAATGATGTTCAACTTGAGCAGTTCATTCAGCGTCTCTCTCAGATTTTCACGACTGTGATCATTCTGAAAGTCAGGCTTCGTCAGCAAAATCTAAAAGGAAGGAAGAATTCAGATGTGAATACAGTGTTATTAAATACTTTAGTTTCTCAGCGTGGGCTCTGGGGCCCCATTTTGACAAAACAAATAACAGACCCACTGCCCCCCTAACATGTTTGTTTGTTTTAGTATCCAGAAGCCATGAGTTGTTAACTCTTAGACTCGGTATTATGGATATCGCAACCTTTCGGCCTTGATTCCATTGTAAATACCGTAAATCTGGGAGAAATGTGGCTTTTCTGCCTACCCCTGGGATTGAACCCGGCCCACAAGAAGTTTGTCACCTGGTCTCTGCGCAATCCAGTTTAGCCAATTACGCTAGAGAGCCGGGCCCCCAAACATGTAAAAGTGATTAATTAGAGGGATTAGCTGAATCGAAGTGTTGTATTAAAAGGCACATATATTGCAGTCTAGCTTTAAACCATAACACAACCCTTTTTAAGGGAGACACAAAAGAAATAACTTGTTCAGAAAAGAGTGTTATTGCTATAGTTATAAATGCTTCTTCTTGGCATTCCCCGGCTGTAATTTGCAGCGGAAAGTTCTGGTGGTTCATTTACTTCTGGACTTTGGTTTTGTTCCAGAACTTCGATATTGTGTGCACATGCATTTTACAGATCTAGCCTAAATGTACACTGATGTTTGGTTCCTCACTTCCCAGGCAGACGCACTCTGACACACACAAAAATGCACTTAATTAGTTGCCTTTCACAACATGCTTGTTGGGGAGGGCAGTGAGTGTACTTTTTATAACAAATGAAGTACAAAGCCAGTAGAGAGACTGCAAATTGAAAAAGAGCTTATGAAAGAAATTGGATGTGTTGGCCAGTCAGGCGCAGAAATTGTAGCCTAGCTGTAAACCACAACACAACATGCCAGATGTTCTTTTAAGGGTGAACACGAAAGAAAGAAAAGAAGATGAATGAAGACTGTTTTCAGTTCAATAACTTTCAAGACCTACCTGTGCTGTTTTGACACCGTACTGAAGAAACATGGCGTCATACAAGCTCATAAGTCCACTCTGGCCAGCAGCAGCACAAGCCCTTGGCTCTAATGTTGGTGGGCGACTCTTTAGAATCGAATGAAAAAATGAAAATGATCAAAAGTTTCTCTATGGTAGTGGCCCCCCCCCCCCCCCTTCCACAAATTATATATATGTGTGTGTATGTATATATGTATATTTAAAAATACATAAAAAACAGTTGATAAATATTTTAATTGGCTCTAATGTTGGTAGATGACTCTTTAGAAAGGTGGAGAATATAAAATGATTAACAGTTTCCCAAAGTTGATGCAAGCAGACGTTATAAATACATTTTAAAAAATGAGTAAATATTTTTAACTGGCTGTAATGTCGATCGATCTAATGGCCTCTCAAAAACAATACTGCAGAGCTCAGTAGAGGGAAAGAGGAGAAGAGGCAGACCAAGAAAGACCTGGTTACAGAACCTGACTGACTGGACAGGCCTCAAGCATGCAACCATGAAGTCCATCGCAGCTGACCGACAAAGGTGGAGAGAGATGATTAGACAGTCAACAGAAAGTGATGACCAAACGACACATAGTGTTACAGGATGATGATGATGAATGTCGATGGACGACTCTTTTGAATTGACAGAAGATATAAAATATTAATAATTTTGCCATATTAATGCACATACAAATTAGTACCCAAAAAAGTTATGAATAAATCTTTTAATTAAAAGATAATTATTTTATCAAATTAATAAACACAAATTTTGTTGTGACTAACAGTTTTTAGATAAAGTGGTTCTTTCAATATAACTCTCTGTGAAAAATGTTACTGTAAAATATAAACAACTGTTAAAACTGTTACTACTCTCAGTAATTATCATTTTTATGGTGTAAAGGGGGCGGGATCTTTCAGTTAGAGGATTTAGGGCTGCAAGCTAGTGCAATTGCCACCGACTGCGCATGTTATATAACCTTGCTGAGAATTAACTCTTTGAGTCCCAAGGAACGCATCATACGTTCATAGGTTACTGCCTAGAAGCCCAATGAACGCATGATGCACCGATTTTAGTTTCTATTGACTACCCCTTGGGCCTGTGATGCTAAACCCTCTGGGACTCAAAGAGTTAAAGCCTGCATGATAGCCCAGTGCTCTCAACCATTTGGCCAGCTGTGCCTCGTATAACTTTACAAAAATAGATAAGCTATATGCTCTTTAAAACCAGCAATAGAGCAGACAGAGAATCCGAAGGCTCTCCTGTCAACTTAGGCCGTTAGCTGGACTGCCGCCGATCGCTTAGTGGGAGTTCTCTCCCTTGGCTGTATTGCGAACGGCCTAAGTTGACAGGAGAGCCGATTTTAGGGTACCATTAATAGTCATAATAACTTACAAATTGGATGTTCATTGTTATTATGAGGTGACATATTAATTAATGAGATCATGTTTTTAAAGCAACAGTCGCATTATTTTCACACGTTGTATTATTGACTTGTGTTTTCTATCAGAAATTTAATTATTTTTGTGTAGTCCTCTTTCTTTCCTTATTCTTTCTTCTGTTTTTTTAAGCCTTTTTCTTTTCCTTATTCTATCTTCTTCTTCTTCTTCTTTTTTTATTTTTTATTTTTATTTCAATGTATGTTATTAATAGTATTTAATAATTCATTTTCATTCACTGCCCTGTTGTCCCATTATATTTCACACAGGGTTTGCAGTCTACTCCTTCCATTCCGTTCTATTCTGTGCTGTAATCACTTCCGTATAATAGATGGAATTCACTCTAGCACCTTTGGCCTCTCTCATTAACTTCAGCTTGAGGGTTTCTCTTAGCTGTCATAGTTTTCTCAATCACTTTTTTTAAATTTAATAATTGCATCATTATATTTTAATGATTATGATGAGGCATTGATGATTATTAAATGCATACGAAAAAGTAATATAAAATCTACATTAACTAGCACAAGAAAACTATAGTCTTATTTATGTCAGTGAACAAGCTTTGAATATATAACAATATATAAGTGAAAAAAAAAATTAAATAATGTATTATGGGCATTCATGCATATACACATGTTGTCATTAATCTGGCACCCTTCAACAAATGTCGTGAAGATTTAAGCTTACTCGGAATCCAGGTTTTGTGTTCAATTATTGGGTTTCAAAGAGAGATGTAAACTATATATTGCAAATTGTGGAGTATAATCAAGTTTTCAAGCCTTTCCAAAACTAAGGGATGACTTATAAGGTAGGTATAAATTGTTAGGTAGATATAAGCCTAAATTTAGAATTCTGACTGAAAAATCTTGAGGGTGTATTATCTTCTTCTTCTTCTTCGCGTTCACCAGCTGTACATTCTGGCGGAAAGTTCTGGTTGCTCGTCCACTACTGAACTGCAGTCCTGCTCCTGAGTGTTGCGTGTGCATCAGTTTTACAGATCTCATTCTCTTGAATACAGACTGTTGGTTCCTTGCCTCTCCGGCAGATGCACTCCGACTTCAAAGGAAGCTCCCCAATTAGTCGACTCTTACGACATGCTTTTGGGGAGGCAGTGGGTCTATTCTTGTTGTCCCTTACAATGGGGCCCCGGATCCCACACGGGGGAGGGGGGAGGGTGTATTATGCACCACGTCAACTCGTACTTCACAATTTACAGTAAGTTGTAAAGAATCAGCCCTTACGCCTGGTAACGTTAAAAAAATGGACCGTGACCCTGTGAAAATTTGACACCGGTCACTAATAAATGTTTTACACAAAATACATTTTTGTAGATTTTAAATTGTCTCTGTTTGTAAAATTTATACAAATATTTAAATCAATAAACAGGAAAGAGGTCAAGCATTAAATGGAATACATTTCCGGGGGGGTCTTAAAAACATGTGTATCAGGTGTCTCATGCCATGACCCCACAACCTCCACCACTAAAGCTTACAGGGACATCAACTTGACTTTATAACGTGTAATATACTAACAAAATGTATAATTTACAAATGTTAAATAACCACACCAAGCAGAAACAAAATATGATTATAGCAGCAACAAAAAAATAGCAGAACAAAAAGGTACATAATGTGCTTCAAATTATTTATAATTGCGGTAAAAATGGAGAAACAAGAATCAAGCATTGACTGATTATAGAGATAAATGCTGGTGAATGACACCAAAAAAATATCTCTGAGGGTCACTCCGAAGGTTAGCTATTAAAAAATTGTATTTATAAAATTATGTCTGTGGAAGTACTGGTACAGTGACAATCGAAACAGTTGGACAATAAAGAAGAAAAAGATGACAAACATACACAACAGCAAGCGGGAAAAGTACCAGCAAAAAACAATGAAATTTCATAGGAACTTGAGGCCACAGATGATAAGCCAACAGAACAGATGAGCAAAATAGAGAAGGAAACAGCATATTCAAGCAATGTAAAATAAATAGATAAAACAAGTACAAGACTAACAGACAGTGGAAGAAAGCCATTCAAAACTAGTCCTTGTCTTCTAGTACACAAGATAAAAGGCATACAAAAGAAGATGGCAACAACGGCAAGAGTGAAACCCACAATGAAATGGAAAACGTCTTTTCCAACAAAAAAGAATCACCTCATTAACCAACCTAGTTATAACCTGACTAAAGTTTGAACATAATCTGTCTATATGGAACAAAATTAATTGAAATGGAAATAGAAAACAGCTCTTCCCTGTATGGGTTCTGGGGCCCCATTATGGGAGAGAAAAAAAACGAGAATAGACTCCCTGCCTCCCTAACAAGCATGTCATAAGAGTCAATTATTAAGGGGTGTTTCTTTCAAAGCCAGAGTGTATCTGCCTGAGAGGCAAAGAACAAACAGTCTGCATACAAATAAGACAAATCTGTAAAACAGATGTGCACATACAACTCAAGTTCTGGAACAAGACTCAAGTCCAGAAGTGGACAAACAACCAGAACTTTCCACTAGAGTTTGCAGCAGGTGAATGCTAAGGAAAAAGAAGAATAAGACAGCTTTGTGAAACCTGAAACACTGGATTCATAAGACAAATATTTGAGTGTTGTCATCTAAAATAGTGTTTGTTGATATACAAACATTTAAATTAAGTCATCAGTTGGACAAAGCCAAGTGAAGGAAAGGAATAATGCACTGTTGAAAAGATTACAACAGAGAAACTCTACAACATTCAATGTGTCCACAGTTGGAGTGGCCAGAAGAGCAAGAGGCAGAACCTCATATCTCCCTCAACACCTGACGTGGTAAGAGAGGAAGTGAAGAAGAAAATATAAACCATGTGATCAAGAATCTTCTAGATGTAAACCATTGCACTAAAACTTGCTATTTGACCCAAGCTAACATAATTCTCAAAGTCCACTGCTTTTGAAAGTGATTTATACTATCTAGTATCAGGTCAGCTCGCAAATGATGTTCTTTCCAAAGCGATCATGGTTTGGTGTAAAAACTAAACCAAACTAAGTAGCATTTGAAAGAAAATAATATGCTCTTGTTTTGTGCCAAAATTATAAACAGTAATAACTTCTTGACTGAAACAAATCTAGCCACACATGACCACATTCTACATAATCTTGTAATTGTTAGGATGTAGTTTTCTATAACTGGTGAAATATCATGAATTATTCATAAAATTTAAATTATTCATTTGAAGGAAGCAGTGAAACAAACATATGGTGTGTTCACTTGCATTTCAGTAGATAAACTGAGAATGCTTTTTTGATTTTTTTTCTCATAGTTATTTGGAATGACCCTCAGAGATATCTTCCAATACTGAAATCTGACCTGGACCTTTTGTTAAATGTCTCGAGGCTGAAAGCTGAGGAAATTCATTGAAAACAATTTACCTAGATTACTGTGGTATAAAAAAAAATACCCTCAACTCAGCATAATGATGATAGTATTAATCATAGTTATTTTATGTACTGCCATAGGCATAATAAATTAGGGTGATACTTTTCTATTTATTGAAACATATTTTATAAAATGAAAAGAGAGGGAAAACTTCACAATTATCACTAAAATGTATACAATAAAATCAAAAACCACAAATGTGAATATGTCAGTGAAGTGATGATGCAGTTGAAAGTGAAGGAAGTTACATACAATGTCAGGTGTGCCATTTTTTAAATCTTTTGTCTTATACAGGTCCTCTTCGTACTTTACTTTCTCATAAAATTGTTTTCCTTGTCGGTGAATTCCATCATGAATCATTAAAGGAATTAACAGATAAGAGCCCAAGTGTTGTTGAATCCTAACAGCAACTATTAAAACACCTGATTTTTCTTTTTCAGATGGTATGCATTAACAGTATCTTTGTTTTCCACATCATTTTTTAAGCTACTTCAACGGACATTTTGGGATGAGTACTGGCACCCTATTTTTAGACACGTTGTGGTGAGTACTGTCACCTTTTTCTCTAAAGATTAAAAAAATAAATCCCTGGAAACATCGATTACAGTCTTCCTTTACTACAGTTCCCCTCTAATCCCATCACATTCTTTTTTTTTTTTTTTTTTGTGAGCATGAATTAACCATATACAGTTTTAAAATATACCTTGTATGTAAGTTATTCATTGAAACAATTAGACATATTTTCTTCTTCTTATGTTGCCTCTTATGTCCTACAGGAACATAGACCTTTAGCCAAGCCCACTGTGAATATGTTCATAGCTGATTTCTTTTTGCAGCTAAAGTTTTCAGCAGGATGGGGTAGCAAAATTTTACACTAGCCTCCTTAGTCATCTGTTGCAAGATGCATGGTAAGTGACAATGTTACTAATCTTTGCATTCCTTTTGGATCCCAGTTACACACATGCAATGTAATCATGTGAAGCTATTAAATGTTCTTCTCTGTAAGTCAGAGATGCCAGAACTTGTGAGCTTAGGCACTTTGAGACCCTATCCCCTGCTAGTAATTTATTTTCAAGGGTGGGATAAGCACCCCGACCCCACCGCCTAAAGAATGACTAATGACTCATCCATGTTAAGCTATTCTATGTTCTTGCATGTAAGTTACTTAGTGAAATTACAATGTAAAGCTATTACAGGGTCACTGGGAAAGGTGGGGCACACAAGTGGTAACCATAAAAACAACACATTATTATTGTTTTTGTTTAAATCTTAGAGATTACATCATTTGGAAGGAAGGGTATGAACCTCTAGTTCGCTTGTAAGTATAATTCTGCTGCTGGAAACTGTGGTCCAACTCATCCGTACTTTTAAGCTTTCAAGTGTAAATCAATCACTACAATATACTGTACTTTTTATACTCATGTTTAATAATGTAAATGCTATATCATTTGCTTTGTACATCTTTTTTAGTTTTATCTGAATTTTGTACTTCTCACACTATTGAAAAGTTACAGCAGTAGCAAGTGACTGCTTAGTATATGTATAATTAAAATACAAATTTACAATTTTCTTTTTTTTTCTTTATAATTTCTTTTTCACTGCTTTTCTGTCTCCGAAAATATTATATTGAAATGATTACTCCTTGGCAAGATTTATCTACAGAAACAGTTGTTTCATTAAAAAATAATTAATTTAGAAGTTGCTGTTTGTTTTTAAATGTAAAGTAAATTTAATCTTATAGCTCCTTCTACTATACTTGAGATTTAAAGCTCACACAAGTTACGTTGTAGGATTTTTCTTTTTTTGGTGTCAGTTCTTCTATACCTAAATTAAATGCATTAAAATGTTGTTAACTCTTTCCATACCAAACAACTCACTATTTGTCATTCCAAAGATAATATACTGTTCTCGCTGACTTTTAGTATAGACAACTGGTTTTTTTAACCCTTAATACCTGAATTGTTAATTTAACAATGTCTGACCCATAGTGTCTCTAACAGACTCCTTCAGACATAAGTATTCGTTGGTTTTAAGCTCGGCTCCTTGGAATATGAGGGGTTAAATTAACAATAGCTTGGGACTCAAAAAGGTAAAATAAATTGGTTTCATAGCACCACACACAAAAATAACCATCTTAACCACCAATACTTCTGAAGCTCTAATGATGTACAAAGTTATATACATACCTTCCTCCATGAACCTTGCTGCTACATTTAGGAAAGAAATAATGGATAACATAGCACATTACGGTTTATTTTCTGCAAATAAAATTTAACCATTAATTATAGAGTTTAAAAAAAATGTATATTTATATATATGTAATATATAGAAATGTTTAAATCTGAAATAAAAAGGGTTACTGGGTGCAGAAAAGGGAAGAAAACAGGACTGCAGCAAGAAAAAAATGTTAAAATGTGCTTGCCAGACTATTGACAGTTTTCTTCCTCAGAAACATCTACACTCAGAGAGCAGAAAAAAAGAACCTGTGTCATAATTCAACTTGTGTTAAAGTAGTCTACAATACCACATGTATTTTTCAATGTAAGAATTCTTAAACTGTCTTGAATGAGAGGATTGATGTATTGTGATAAATGATGGATTGGTAAATTGTGGCAACTAAAATAACTGATAAAGTAGTAAATTATAGGATCATTATATTAATTAAGCGTAAGATTGAAAAACTGGTAAGTTATAGGATTGGTTAAACTGTAATCAATTGTAGAATTCAAACAAAATGTGATAAACTGCTGGCATACAATAACTTGCCTCGAGTTGAAACATTTGTAAAAGTTTCCTAAATATTGTGAAATATAATGTGATATACAGTAGGGTTGAAATAAAGAATGAATAAAATAAAGTAGGGAAGAGGAAATAAATGTGGCAAAATACAGAATTGAGATTAAAGAGGTAAAGGATCTAGTCGAAATATAATATAGCAAATAGTGTGATTGGCATAAAGTTTGGCAAATAAACAGAGACAAAATGGAGTCATATATGATATGCCTGATATAGTATGTGCAACAATTCAAAACAGGGAAAGTATTGTAATAACATATATTTCATCTCATCTTATCTAGGTCCTCTTGCATCTTGCAGTCTCAAGGTGAAGTGGAAACAGTCGAAAAGAGCCTTTTTGTGTACTTCATGAATGAGGGTTCTCAAAGCCTATTTGCTCTGTCCATCAGCCTCTCTTTCAAATCCCACTTGTTTGTTGGCAGTCAGTCCAAATGGTTGAACCATTTTACCTGTTTCTTTCTCTTGAAACTTAGTGTTGTAACTAACCCCATTTTCTTCCTGATTTCATATAAACGAAAAATCCAAGTTCACTTAAATACAGATAACATCATGCAACATTATGTTCTTATTGCATACACAAGTGCACCAAAATGACAGGGTAAATTACATACTGATAAACAACACATAGATCACATTGTTTTGCAATGCATATTATTCTTCAAACAACTGCTAACTCATTGACTGAAATTTGACTGTGTTGATCTGTAAGTGAGAACTTGAAAGAGACTGATACACGAAGACAACTTGCTATGTATAAAATATCTTGTTGTTGCCACATTAAGAGAAAAGAAAAGCTGGACATACTGTGACAACTGGAGTAATTTATAGCAAAAGAGATAAAAGAGGACAGGAAGGAAGAGAAGACTTTTGACAGCCTTTTGCCATGACACACAAACGTGGCAGCATACATACAAACTGATATATAAAATGCTTTTGGAGATGTAAGATGTGCAGATACGTAATCACCCATGTAAATTTGCAAGATACTTAACAATAATGATGTTGATGATGAGAGGATTCTGTTTGTTTTAGATCATCCTCATCCCATGTGGGTACCAGAGCCCCATTGGGAGGAAGGACGGATGAATAAATCTTCTATTCCTTATCAAACTTGGTGACTAATTAAGGGTTTTTAAATGGTATGATAGAATAACTAATGTAGAGCTTTGGAAGAGAACTAAGCAAGCTCCAGTGGACCAGAGGTGAAGAAAAGATGCTGGCGTTGGATAGGACACACATTGAGAAAACCGGAGAACGGTATAACTAGAAAGTCTTTGCATTGGAACCCATAGGAATAAAGGAAGGCCAAAAAACATGGAGAAGGGAGCTGGAGAATGAAGTTAGAAATATGGGAAGGATATGGAGAGAGCTGCATGTGATAGCAAAAGAAAAAAAAACGACTTGGCGTGAGTTGGTTAAGGTGCCTATGCTCCATTAGGGGCTAGAAAGGCAGAAGAAGAAGAATGAAGGGTTTGTTGAAATCAGATAGGTTGAATTAAAAAGAACAGATATCACAGAGTAGCTGCAAAACAAACTCAAGATGAATGTCGCCCCTTTAAAGGCAAGCACAACAGAAAACCATCTTCGATAAAGGGCAGTATTATGATTGCTCATGTTTACTTCTTATTTGTTGGGGAATTGGGTGGGGCGGGGGGGGGGCGCTGTGAGCATTATTATGCCACTAACAATTGTCGGCATTTGTGTATTACAACATTTTGTTTAACATATGTTGAATTAAGAATCGACATCACACCACTGGGGACACTCCCATTAGTGCTCAGTCCCCATCTTCAGCAGCAAGCAAAGAGTTCCAACTCCAGTGGTACCAGTAACCGTCTGATTGTATGTCCGTCTCATCCTTCCCCAGAGTGTTGAGCATTGGCTAGATGCCCTGGTAACTCCTCGCAGTGCCGTTATTCTTAGACCGTAATGATCTATCTACACCTCCGCACTGTTCACCCGCTCTCAAAGGGCCCTCACAATATCTAACTTATCATTTTTTTTTTTTTTTTGGGTCATGTTATTTTAAACATTCATGAGAAAACTATAAGTTAAAGGAATGTTCAGTTGAAACCTGTTCAGGCTGCGCCGCATGCAATTGCATGCATTGAACATTATCATGCCCTATTCATGAGACGATGACTGTACAGTAACAATACCAACTCACCCCATTTTCAATGTTATAGAGGTTCTGTCTCATGCTCATTGACAAGATCGCCTCTTGTCGAAGTTTCTGCTTTCCAAATGCCACCGCCCCACTGGTCACAATAATCATCTGTCTGCCCTGATTCTGAAGCTCAGCAACCTTTGAATACCACAGAGGACAACATTTGAATTATTTTTTTTTTTAACAACATTTAAAATTTATCTTGAAAAAAAAAACGCATTTTTTAAAACCTCTGGTGTTTATGCACAATATTTAATTGATTTGAGGATTAAAATAGTTTACATAATATATCTTTGCAAACAGGGCTGATATAGATGATTTTTAGGAGTTATTGTGAGATAATACTGACGTGGGATGAATTATGAAAAGAAAATTATGTTAGAGGTCGTTTTAATTAATGATGAGAAAAACCAATAACAGATAAAAAGTATAGTGAAAAGTATTGAAAGAAATGAACTCCCCAAGATAAACTTTTAAACTGCCTCAAAAGAGGACAATTCATATTATTTCTGCACGTATGAGAAAGGATGTAATAATAATATAACAGTTGGACTGGAAGAGAAGCAGGGATATAGAGATAAGAGAATTCAAATAGTTTTGTATCATGGCAAGGAAGAATGTCTTTAATGAATGACATTATACGACACAGAAGGCTGTCATTAAAGGTAAACAGTCGAGTCTGGATAAGTAGAAGTCTCAGGGACCTAAGAAAATGCTTCCACTTGTCAGGATTTCTACTTATCCAGACAGCACACACAATAGAGAAAATTGCCGGGACTAAGCTGGTCATGTCGACTTAACCAAAATTCGACTTATCCGAGTTCGACTTAAGTGGACTCGACTGTATACCAAAATAGGAGAGGAGCGTAGAGAAATCAGAGAAACTATACAGCAGTGCAATGCGTCAACGGTCGAGGCGGTCAGAGAAATAAGAACCAGAAACTTATACCTTCCTCTGCTCCAGAAGCGGTAAATAACAAAAATTAGCACGGTCCCTTGTGAAATAATTGAGACGACTGTGGTCTCGGCAAAGCCAGTAACATTCACAGGCATTAACAAACAGTGGGGCACTAGAAATTCAGGTCATCGTAGATAGAAGCACCAGTTACAACAAATTAGTAGTTGCACACGCAATTAATCACATGGGGCGGAAAGGGGGGGGGGGGTTGGGGCAATCGATGAAGATGATACAGTGAGGAATAATGTTTTACGACAGACGTTAGAAATATGTATATACAAGACACTGAAGATGCACTAGCTATGAAAGCACACAGGACTGGAGAACTAGCTAGAGAGCCAGACTTTCAGGCCGCCATGAAAATGAGTGACGTTCTGTACACGGCCTGCTGACTGAACATGGCAGACGTAAACAAGAGTCTCTCACCTGTTCAACAATGGAACCCAGTCTACCCAATGCCAGCCCACACTCGTCTTCCCTGGTAATGACAGCACTGCCTAGCTTGATCACAATTCTCTTCACCTGTAGAGGAAACAGTTGATTACAACTATGAAATTATAACAATCCAAGCCATTTTAAATACACCCTGGGCTGTTTAACCTGGCAGTATGCAACGGACAACTTTTTTTAGGCATCACTTTGTTTTTCTCAGCCCTATTGTAATCGACACTTCATAGTGACTACCGCTATTCTTTCTTTTCTTTAAAAAAAAAAAAAAACCGGAATAAACCTCTAGACAAAAAAAAAAAAAAAAAAAATCTGAATATCACAATTTTTTGGAAACTACACTTATCTTCTATTATAAGTCAATGATCGTTTGTCCGAATTTAGCGCCTCGGACATAGATTGTTAGACCTGTTTCTTGTACACTCGATGTGGGGTCAAATTCACGTGACCGCCTTTACTTCCCGGGAAACTGCCCGGTATCCATTATATGCTAGCTGGACCTAGTCGCCAAGCATCAGTTCTGTTAAAAAAAATTATCTCCCGCTATGCAGATTTGAACTTGGACCTTTAGGCCGACAGACCACTGCAGTTCCCATAGTCTAATATAATTAATATTTAAATTTGTTACAGTTACCACGTAATCTATGCCCCAATAAATATTATAAGATATGAAACAAAAATCCGCAGTATCTTTACTGTCTGCATTTATCACTTTTAAGGTAGTGCAACTCGGAATAGGAGGGGAGGGAGTGAGTCTGAGGATTAGGACCCTCTGGGTCAATGTAGTCGCCACAAACTGCGCAGGTTAAGATTTTATATTTTTGCCCTAATAACTTTATATCACAACTACAGTAAAATATTATTAACACGAACTTGCTTAAGAAGAACATTCGGTAAACAGAAACACAATTTTGATATACTGAGGGGAGGATCTGAGCACCTATGGACATGTCCGGAGTGCAATGAGGATAACCCAACTAACTAACTAACTAACAATTTTGATATTTGTCTCCCCTTAGCACAAATTTCTTTTAACACATAATCGATTTCGATATCTTGTAGTTCGTGTTAACGAGATGGTTAACTGTATAACCCAGAAAATGTAAGTTTTTTGGGTGGGAGGAGGGGAAGGGGGTTAAATTACCACTACAGGTGCTGTAAAAAAAAAACTATTATGACTTGTCCCTGTCTACATCATAAGCACACTGGTCTGAGCCATACGTGCTCCGTCCTCCGATGCAGCAGCCATGTCTCCATGCCCAACGTACCCAGTAAATGTCATTACTCCCTGTATCAACAACTTTTACAGTGTCTTTGATCCGGTGGATTCAGGGCCGTTGGGCAGTGCAGTCGCCACTGACTATGCAGGTCGGTATTGGCTTGTCCAACCGCTCCCCGCTACTACTACTAATAGTGTTGATTAAGAATTGAATATGCGAACATAAGTAACTGCCAGTCTGATGTCTAAAAATGCAATTTCAAGTTTTGTGAAAGTCGTATTTTTACCTTGCTCAAGTCGCTCCTCAAGAGAGCTGCCGAACCATTAGGAATTAACTCTTCACCATCAATTATCTGCGCCTTGCTGTATGTTCTTGTACAAGTGTTACCAAGGAAACGTATCCTGCTAAAACTGGCGTAACCACGGAACAATGCGGCGACTTTGTGGTTCAGCATGTTTCTAGCTACTCTGTATTGCTGTTCAATCAATCTTTGTATTATCAACCTGAAGATGAGAAAAAAAGTATAATCATGGTAACGTTGTTTTACTAGTCTTGTACTTATAATCAGCTATACGACAAAGAAGATGGCAATCTGTTGGAGACGCGGACAGAAAAATCACCAAACAGGCACTTAAACAGGAAACAAATGGATTGAGGAAACGAAGACGTCTAAGAGAAATCCCGAGTGTGTTCCAAGGTCATTTTTTAGAACGAAGAACAACCCCCCCTCCTCCCCTCCCCCAATAACAAGGAGACGCCTATTAAGAATTTAGAGTTAATCTGCCTGAGAGACAAGGAACACACAGTCTGCATATCAATAAGCCAGATCAGTAAAACGGATGTGCACGCAAAGCTCAAGACCAAAGTCCAGAACTCTACAACAACCAGAACTTTACACAAGAGTTTACAGCTGTTCAACAATAAGAAAAAGAAGAACCCAGAGACGAAAGTTTTCGAGAGCGGCCAAGCACGGTGGACTGGATCTATCAGATAGTGCATCTCAGACAGTCTCGTCACGTAGACACAAAGAAGCAGAACCAGAGGTCGACAACACAAGGGATGGGAGATGCAATATTCCAGCCTGTGAATACCAGCATATATGTAGCACATAACTAGGCACGCACCAGATGCCTCTTCAGAGCCGGACGCTAAAAGGCTAAACCGTGCTAAGGAAGAACACAGAACTGAGTACTTGACTGTAAGCGCTATGTAAGGTAAAAATGTCATATTGAGGCGATTAAAATGATGACGTTTCACAGTACGAGTACCGGGGCCCTCTTGTGGAGCATAAAACCAAAACAGACCCACTGCCTTCGAAATCTTCCTGAGAGGTAGGAAACCAACAGTAGGAAACCAACAGTTTGCATACAAATAAGTGAGATCTTTAAAACGGATGTATCGCAACTTTCAGTTCTAGAATAAGTCTAATGTCTAGAGGCTGGCGAACACCCAGAACTTTCCGCCAGAGTTTACAGCTGGTGAACGCGATGAAGAGAATAACTGTATAAGTAACAATATTTTCACTGTGAATGGGAGTCACCGTGGTGAAGCAGCTAGAAGCTCACTTGCGGATTGGAATGTCAGGGGTTTGGGTCCTGAGGAAACCGGACTTTCTTCAAAAATGACCATGGCTCCCATTTCGACCCAGCCTTGAGTAGGTATCAGGTAAAGTCCTAGGAAGTAAAGAGAGAAAAGGAGGAATAGATTATTGCCCCCCTAGCAACCGTATTGTAAAAGGCGGCTAATTAGGGTTTTCTGAAATTGGGTATGTTAGACAAAAATGAGCAGATATCATAGCCTAGCTTTAAACCACAATTAACGTGTCATCCACCATTTTAAGAGCAAACACACAAGAAGAAGAAAACCCACGAGGGTTGTCTTATACAATTGTTAACACATGCGAATCTACACACAATCGTACTTCGTAATCTATCATATGTATATTTTCACTTGTCGAAATCTAACTTTGTTATCATGTGTGTTGGTTAACAATTTTACTACCGCTGTATTACTCCAGATGAACAGAAATTAAGATTAAAAAACCTAACATGTCATTGAACAACACCGCCTATAATGGGTCGTTGTGAAACATACCAGTGGGAGGTTTGACATAGTTTCTCGATAATTATCTCATACCAATCAACAGTGAAGTCAGTAAACTTGTATTACACCCAGGGTCATTTTTAGAGTGCATGGCATCCTTGTGCAGTCATTTACCCCCTCCCCCCCCCCCTTTTTTTACCCCTATTAAACTTAAACATCGCAATTACCATGCTATTTAAATGTTAGAACAGTGATTCCCAAACTGTGCGCCGAGGCGCCCTGGGAAGCCGCAACCTCTTCACATGGGCGCCGCGAAATATTCAAAAATACCCGAGTTTTTTTTTTTTTTTTTTTTATCTCTTACATACGAATAGTCATACTTTTACTTAGGTTAGGGCGCCGTGGAAACAGTTTTAATTGAAAAAAAGGGACCGCGACTAAGACAAGTTAGGGAAACACTGTGCTAGAACCTTAATCTAATACGTTTGATAATAATAGTGATGCCAATCAATCTGCTCTTCCTGGCACTCGCCGGCTGTTTACAAATTACCGTCTGCATTTATGTAATATCACAAAACAAATCTTTTTAACAACGAAAGCTAAAACCAATGCATGATTAAAATAAAATATTAACATGAATAAAGTAATTATATACCACGCATATCCTAAGTACACAGACTATAAATAAAACGTTGAGGATTCTGTTGAATAGATTAAAATCTACTTATATCTTCTTCTTCTTCTTCTCCACTTCCTCTTTTACCGCTGTGGGTGTCGAGGGAGATATAAGGTTCTGTTTCTAGCTCTTCTGGCTGCCTCGACCATAGGCACATCGTGCTGTTGAAGAGTTTCTCTGATGTTATCCTTCCATCTTGTTCTTGGTCTACCCCGTGCTCTACGTCCTTCTTATGATTTATTTAAACTGTTTTTGAGCTGAAATGTTATAGAAAGATTCTCAGAAGATCTTGGACAAAGAAGATGAGAAATATTGACATCTTAAAAGATCTGAACATCAAGAAAGATTGGCTGATAAACAGCATCCTTTCTCGAAAGCTGAAATATTTTGGTCATATCAAGCACCACAACCGATTGGGAAAAAATTATAGCAGAAGGCATGGTACCAGGAAGGAGGGACAGGGGCCGACCGACACGAAGATGGGCACAGAAATAGGTGACTCCTTGAATGTGAAAGTGCATGAGGCGGGAGAACTGGCGAGAGACCGAGTTTCTTTCAGGCAGACTGTGATGAGAGCGACGTTCTGCAAAGGAACTGCTACATGATAATGTACTAAAACAGAGACAAAGTTAGTATATTTAAAACTGAAGTAATGAATTCCTATTCTGCTACATATAAGGCTATGTGGCATGTTTCTGTAGCAAGTTAAAGAATGTGAATATCTAGGAAGAAATGTTCTCGGAGGACATGAGAATAAATCGGGAAATAGAAACAAAATGCCAACGAGCCAGTGCACTTATATTCCAATACACAGTTATTAAGACTTCCAAACATAAGTTTGAGCGCCAAGAAACAGATTATAAACAGCATATTTATATTAACATTGTCCTACCGGTGCTAGACTTTGACAATATCTGAAGCTAACCCACGTAAAATTAACATCTGTGTAATGAGATGTCCAAGAAAAGCCGCTAACTTAACCATCCGAGACAAAGTTAGAAATGTTATAATCAGACCGACTGTAGCAACAAAATCATGCATCAATTTCACTGAGAAGCAGAAGATGAAATGGTTTGGTCATGTAGTTAGGATGCAGCCGGGACCACTACAAACGCAGGTGCTAAACATAAAACGATCTGATGTGAAAACAAGAGGTAGCCCTTGGAGAAAACTAACTGATGACATTAAAGAGCTACTACATTGACATCAAGTGACAATAGTCATTACTAACCATCAAGCAATGGATCGCAAACTGGGCCTCTCCACGTCAGAATGGAAATTGATGATGATGTATCTGAACATAAATTTAAAACGAAAACGAAACGGATTCTTAACAACAGAGCGGGAAAGTCGGAACAAAATGAATAGATTAATTGTATATGTATGACTGAAATGAAATAGTCTATGTGGTGGAAGCTCACATAAGTAATCTAAAAATAGAAATGTACCTACAGTACGAACACTTGAAAACCTCGAGATGTATCCGATGCAAGTACTTTCTTTAGCTGCAAATGTGAATGATGACCAAAGAGCTACAACTGTATTTATGGGACGACTGTCCTACCAGCGCACAGAAGACTGGCGGAGATAATGAACGAGCGAAAACCAGTCACTTGTCAGGATGGGTATACTTATCTAGATTAACTGATAACAACAGATCAGCGTGTTTACCGAATCTTTAGTCAAACATTTGTACAACTCGCGGCAGCGAGAATTTATCTAAAGAGCGTTTGTACATGTACCACAAATGTGTACACATGGAGGTGTGTGTATTAGGCACGGGCAAAGGTCTAAGTTGTCACTTTCCAGAATGTGTAGTTTATTGAATTGTTTTTTTTTTTTTTAATTTTAAATGTGTGTGAAGACTTGGACCACATTTTGTTATGTTTGTATTAAAATATAATCAATAGTTATAGGTGTATGTGTTTCTTTAGCGTATTATATATATATACATATATATATATATATATATATATATATATATATATATATATATATATATATATATATATATAGTGCCCAAATGTATAATAAAAGTCAAAGGCGTTATTTTGGGATAAGTACAGAAATTTAGGTATCTAGGCACATGGACAACATCCTATACAAGATGTATCACAGAGATCAAGAACAGAATAAGACAGGCCAAAACTGCATTTTATCAAATTTAGAACATTTTATGCAATAATCGATGTGATCACAAGAACTATTGGAACCATACCCATCGTTAAATTTATTGAGAAGCAAAGAATGAAATGGTTTGGTCACCTAATGAGAATGGAACCAACGATGCCAGCATCAAGAGCATACAACATGAAAATCGAAACAACAAGAGGCAGGGGAAGACCAAGAAGAAGATGGATTGAAGGAGTCACGGACAACTTGAGACTTCATAACATCACGGCATATGAAGCGACTGAACGCGCCCTGGCTCGGTTGCCGATCATCTGATAGACTGCGACGCCTAGCGGCACAAGCAGATTTTGACAAAAGAAGATGCAATAATCCATGTCATTGGGGGTTAGGAACAGAATTCTCGCATGTTATATATAGCTAGTTTTAACATACAATTGTGAATCCTGGACAGTTGATAAACAAGCCGAACAATATCTTGAGGCCTCGGAGATGCGGTTGTACGGAAGAATCCTTAGAATTCCTTGCACACCTAATAAGAGCAACTCAGATGTTTTGAAATCGGCGAGTGATCGAAGACAATCTATCACAAACATCAGATAGAG